TTAATTATAGAAGTAATCAACATACTAAAACTCTAATGATCAATCTGTCATAAGTGATAAAAAACTGCTTTTTTGGGTAGTGGGTAATTTATTTATTGAACTTAATAATTCTATGATCTTTCCAAGTTGATTGAAAAAGCATTTTGCTCAAAGGAGACTTGAAAATACACCATTTTAAAATTTTCTGAACAGTATTTAAAAAAAAAAAAAATAAAATATAGATTTGAAATAATCATTTATAATGAAAAATTATTCAGAAATGTTGGTAAATTTATTTTCATGAAAAAGTTTTTAATATGAAATTTTAAAAATAAAATGTATTTTAAAATATAAAATCTAGTTTTTGCAAGGTAAAATAGAAAAAGTAATTTTAACACATTCAAAATAATTATTCAGTTTAAATGTTTCAAAATGATTTTAATATTTTACTATATATTAATCTTTACAAAAGAAAAACTAAATCAATATTTAGCACTTTGTGGGATTCAATGTAAGATTTTATTTTTTTTCTCAACATAGTGATAGAAAATTAACTCATAATATTAAATGACTATCATCCACAACTAATAAATGTAATTAAAAAATAAATAAATAAAAAGAATTATTTAAAAGATTTTTTTTCATTTCATGAGAAAATATTACTTGATGGAACTTCTGTGATTATGATTGAATAATAGTTAATATAACACGGTTGACTGACATAAAGATTTACAGCAAGAAATATGTAATATAAATATAAAAAAATGTATGCATTATATTGATGGTGGAGGTTACTTTCTTTTTTTAGCATTCCTATAGATTGGCATAACAATGAAGACATGAAACACGTTAATGCTTCATGTATGAAGAAAAGAAAGAGGAATACAAAAGATATTTAAAAATCAATATCTGCCCTCAATATATTTGAGGTCAAATTTTAAAATTTCTTGAGTTTATAAAGAAATAGAATTATTATTTAATCTTCTTTTTAGAGAAGATAAAAAATAAAAATTTGATTTGTGAAGTAAAATGGTGTAAATTGGTATTAAGGCTATTTTTTAATTTATTTTAATTCTACCTTTTGTTTCTGTGACAGTTTTTTTTTTTTTTTAAATTGTTTTGGTTTGCCTATTTACATATTCTGTATTCCTTTCTTTTATTTGCTCCATATTTTCAGTTCATTTTGTATTACAATTTTAAAAAAGAAACCTTAAATTCCGAGTGATGTTTGTCAGTAGGCTAAACTTGGACAATAACATACATGAAAAGATTAACATTATCAAATAAACTGATAATATAAGTAATAAAGCCATTTCTACCATACATATTACTGGCATAACTTCAATATGGTAAAACATGGTAAAAGTAAACCCAAAGTAAATAAGAATGTCATATGGTAAAACCTGGTAGTGACGACAGAAAATCTTTATCCTTACAGAGAGTGAGTTTTGTTGTCTCAAAATAAAGACATTCAAGGCTCTTCAAGTGAAATGATGACTGTGCTCACTTAAGATTTTAAAACTGTCATTTGAGAAAGTGTTCGCCAAAAGGGAATTATCAATGGGACATTTTCAGTCCATGTGTCACTGTTGTCATATGGCACAATGGGTCATTGCTAATCTATAATGGGGCACACTGCTTAATCCTACACTCCAAAAAAATGTCACTGCAGTGTTGAGATTTTCAAATCAAGTAAATCTTTCTGCCATTATGGCTTCCATTGAATAAACCCTGTAGGTCTTAGTAAGGACTATCCATCTTTGTACCTTGTGGACTGGTGCTACAGGATCACAAAGAACTCTAACAGAAGTGAACTTCCTGCAGCAACTAAAATGGATCATACATGTAACTTTAAGAGAAAATGATGGCATAATCAAGATAGTGATAAAAGAATGAACTTGAAAAACCTGTTTTCTTGAAAAATGGATTTAACAGATTTTATAAATTTAAACTGAAAATATTACTGTCTGCTCAGTCAATATTACTATTATCTTTATAGCAAGAAAACCATACTATTGAAATGACTCTCTCTAGTTACCAATGCTAGTCCAATATTTATCTGCTATTAACATTAATGGAATTGATAGCTGTTTTACCATAAATCAGTTGGTTGTAAGCAGCAGTATTTAAAATCATTGCAGATTTAATGTGTGTGTTTGTGTGTAGTTGGAGGACTCCTCTCAAATCAGGGAGGCTCATTGCTATATTCCTGTTGCTGAATTAGAACCCATTGGATTAAGAAAATGTTGGTTAAAATTTGGAATGGTAAAAAGGCTCTCACTCACACGTTTCTTCAAGTGACATATCTCGAGGCTCAGGTAATCATGGCTCTTCACAGCTTCTTTTTAATATTTGCAAAATGTACACTATCATGACTATTCTTAGTGAAGTTAGTGTAGTTGTTTCTAATTCACTGGCTTCTCCATTGATTTGAATTCGGAGCTGTCCTTCCAGACTGGCTTGCAACAAAGTCTAGGGAACACAATCTGTCAGTGTATAAAATAAAACTAGGAGAACAGTTGAATCCATTCTTTTCTCAAAGATACAATGAGAGTTTGAACCCTGTTTGCCAGCTCAAATTTTAACACTGTTAGCTATTAATCCAACTGCAGTACACAGACAAAAAACTTATCAGACAATTTCCATAGATAAAGGCTTGTTACAAATAAAATGCATGGAGACAACTAAAACTTGACTCTGGTCTGTTAATCAGGTTTTGATTATTTACAGACATGTAATTCAGAATTATTGTAAAATACTTTGGTGGTTGGATCAGTTATAACAAATCTTATATAAGAGATGAGGAAATTAAAAATAAAAATAGGCTAAGGGATTGTTCTGCACAACAATGCAAACTGGTGAAAACTAAAACATTAACTTTAAAACTTGATTCATTTTCTTTTTAGATAGCTTAGTCATATTGAGACTTTCATATGGAGGCCATAGATGGCATCAAACTCGATCAGAAATATTTGAATTGTCAGTTGTATACAAAAACTTTCTCAGATCAGTTATTAAAAATGGCTTTGAGCAAATGAAGCATGTAGCTTTTAGTACTGACCTTCTTTTTTGTGTCAACCTCAAGTCCCTCCCGGTCGTCCAAATCCAATACCAAAGGCTGATCAATAAGGTGATCACTTTGATCCAGGCCTTGCCTTATCCCACATTGTGATTAGTTTTGATCATAAGGTTGGCCAGGATCAAATCGTCATCAGGTATCTTTGTATTGGGGTGGTCCAAGTGGAAGGAAAACATAAGAAAAGCAAACACTTGAATAAAAAAAATGTTTATATATGTTCCTGTGTACAATAGTTGGTTAGTTTGTTGTCAAAATCTAGCAGTTCGCATGTGGATGTTTATCAACTCAGCCCACTTAAGTTAGACATGATACTTTGCTGGCTTGACGAAGTTTGGCACAAGGCTGATGTTAGGGATTCTCTTCAGCCAGGCAGTCACATAAGGTGTTACTTGTCTGGTGTCTGGAACAGTTTCTCTCTCTCTCTCTCTCTCTCTTCCATAGTGTCTCAGTGTTCTGTTTTTATGGATCCATACACATGGGCTGGGGTGGGGCATGATGTACTCCAGGTATGCCAGCGCTCCCCAAGCAACCAATCAGGGCTCTCCCTGCAAATGTCCTAATATGGGGGAGTTTCTCCTCCCTCTTTGAAATTCTACCTGAGCCTTATCCTTCCTGCTTTGTGTGAATGCCTCTCACCATCACTACCTGAGGGGGCATGGAAAATCCTCCACCTTCCCTGAAATTCCACCTGAGTCCTCTCCTCCTTAGTCACCTCAAGGGCTAGGTATAGTCTAGCCCAGTGACCAAATTTTAATTATTGTTCAAAATTCTTACTCATCATGTTTTTGTGCGTGGTGATTTTTGCATTTGGAATTTATCATTTTTATCTTTTGGTCAACCCTTTTGGCTGACAATTGGCAAGAACGGGACAATCCCTTGATTTAGGAAATATTATAGTGCTTTGGTAGACAAGAAATTTAATTTACCTATTTTCTTTTGTGAACCTGTCTGCTTCTAAAAGCTAATCCTTATTAATTGACCAAATCCACAGCCAGAGTTCTGTTTCCTCAACGCTCGTGAAAATATCTGTTTCTTTTTGGGAGGTCCTTAGAACTCTGGAATAGCTCATCACTTAATTTCAGTTCTTCATCAAAACTAGGTGGTGTCTTTGTTTTACCTCTCTGGTGGGCAATAAATTTAATTACCTTCATCTATTTTTTTTTTTTCCAATACACAAATAACCTTCATTTTTCCTTCCTCTGGTCATTGGTATATATTTCAGTCTATCAGAATTTAGTGTTTTTTTTTTTTTTTTTCTGTCTTCTAGTTTTTTCTCAATTAAAAACAAATATCCCTTTCTTTCAGTTTCCTTTGACCATTGGTATATTCATTGTTCTATTCATTAGCCTTCTTATCATTTACCATCACTAAATAGTGTTACATTTGAAGCATGTGAATTGGCATTAGAGAATCACAAAGAACTGTACCAAATAAAAGAAGCAACATCATTTGAGGATTTTCAACAACAGTAGCAACAGCTAAAATGTATATAACATGTAACTTGAAGAAAAAATACTTATATAATCCAGATGTTGATATTTCACACTATTTTTAACAAAAGGTGAGGAAGGAAACCTCCATCAATGCTAGTAAGAGTGATAACAGTTACTAAACTTGGAAGCTATTTTCCTGAAAAATTGTTTTAATAGTTTTTTTTTTTTTTTTTTTTATAAATTTCAGCCAAAAGTAGCACTGGCTGCTCAGTCAATGAATGCTAAATGTTTCTTGATAAGCAAACTGCTAATATTATCATTTTATTGAGTTTTTATTTTTTGAGCAGAAATGCAAGGTCATGTTTGTTTTCATGTGACAACTTACCAAATGGAATTGTTTTTCTTCAGGATGAAAAAAAAATAAAAATAAAATAAGCTTTTTTTTTTTTTTTTTTTTTTTTTTAATACATGTACACACTTTTATATAAATTTTTTATTTTTTTTTATAGCATTGGGTTGAGCGAGTTGGAGGTGGCAGTCCTGCTAAGGGTAAACTTTTGTCCACAGTTGGAATTGACATGGATGAAGTTATCCTTGATAAATCTACCAAAGGTCCAATCACATTCCGGACGTGGGATTTTGGAGGCCAGGTATATAAATTTTGATCTTGATTTTTGATTTAATTTTAATTATCAAATTACATTAACTTTTTTTTTTCTCCAAGACAATTTCCACTTTAATAAGTCTCACCTTTTATTTCCAATTAATTCTTCCATAATTTGTTTTATTTGACCTGCTTTGATTCTGTCATTGTCTTTTGTTGGGCTATACTTTCTTCTCAAATGTAGAAATATTATTTTTTTCACTAATGGACTACTGTATCTTTATTCACCCCAACAAGGCAACAATGCCACTAAGTCGCAAGAGGCTACTGGGAGTGGAAGAGAATGAGGAGACTTTAGAAGGAACTGGAAACTCAATCCTAAACAGGAAATCAGGGTTAAACCTCTACTCCTATTCAAAAGATCTGGGAGGAGTGTGAACTGGATGATAGGCAAACCTATATATTCATAGTGAAGAAAAAAAAAAATAAATAAAAATAGTAAATAAAATTTCAGAGTTTAGACAGATGTTGAAGTAAACTTTAGAAGGAACTGGAAATGTAATCCTAAACAAGAAACATGTGATAAATCTCTAATCCTGTCTCAAAAAAACTGGGGAGGAGTATGAACTGGGTAATAAGCAAACCTATCCACTCCTGTTGTTTTGTCTTGTCTCTAGATTTTCAAAATAAAAAAAAAAAAAGAAAAAAAAGTCTGTTTTTTTTCTTTTTGGAAAGGAATTGTATTTTCTTCTTTTACGTAATAGTAGACATGTTTTGTTTTTCTCTAATTGGTATGCGTGTATGAGACAAGGCAGTCAAGGAAAACATTTTAAATTGATTAATTAAAACAAGGATGATGCAGTTGTGAAGCTTGAATGAGAAAATTACTTTAAATTGTTTCAAAATTTAATTTTTTGAAAATATCTAAAAAAAATAAAAACTACAGGAGGTAACTTTAAATATTTTTAGAGTAGGTATTATATATATCTGATGGACACTAAATTTTAAGCTGTTTTTAATGCCGTTTAGGAAAACATTTAGGAAAAGTAAGGAATTGTATTCCATTTTGTGTGTAAATTCTATTGTATGTTTGACTTTTATCTATTAAGTCAGGTAGATCAGTATCACAAGGATATATTAATATAGCATTATCAATATATTGGATGTATGTTTTTAATAAAAGTGTAATCTTTTACTTTCATAGTGTTTTGTTTTTGTTTAGGGGTTCACTATTTACCCCCTAGCTGGGACCTTAACAGGTGCTAACACCTCGTGTAATGGTGGACCTGGGAACAACATTAGTTAAGAGGTGATTACACGCTCCTCAAAATCTGCAATCTCTTGATCAGAGGCTTTACTGCCAGATGTAGTTTTTCATACCCAGAACTACTGGGTCCTATAGCATTAGTTGGCAACCAGTCTACCACAGAAAGAAATGGTAACCTATTGCAGGAAAATCTTCTTCCTAGTCTGTCATGAATTGAAAGAGACATGATCACCCAAGTGTGTATCTGAGGCGAATGAAGAAAACAGTAACCAGCGAGTAAATTCAAGCTCTCCCAGCTGGTATTTCAAACTTGAGTCGTTCCTTCTTGAGTTCTGTCTCCAAATCACACTAACTGCCTGTTCTAGCCGTCAACCATGAATGTCCCTCGAAGAACTCCCCGACTCGGAAAAAAGTAGTTGTTTTTATAGTTGTTCATGTACCCATAATCCCTTGCATCTTCATGTGATCCCATAATTCATTGTGTCCATGTCCCATAATGCATTGCATCGTTATTGCATAAAAATGCGATGCCAGTCCCCTCATTCTTTTACATTATCTGGCGAGGATGGATTACGGCAGGAAGCGGTAAGTGCTTTTTTTCTCTCCCTCATTTCAACTGCAGTAGATTTACATGCTAAGCAAATACGGGCTCTTTTTTTTGGCGGGGACAAGGCAAGTCGCAGACCAGTTGTGCTCGTCCCAGGTTCTGTCTCATGTCCGCCACAGTATCATATATAACACTAAAGTATTATAATTTAGTTAATAGTTTTACTTGATCTGGACACCTTGGGACAGGGGTTAAAAATGTTTGGATAATTTAAAATTCCATATAATTGAATAGCATTTTAGGATTGGGTTTTTGGTTCCTTCTAAATTCTACTTCTATACTTCTACCCTCTCTGCCTAAACTCTGAAGTTTATATTGTTACTAGCAGCATGGCCTGGCATTGCCTGTGCTTGATTCAAAAATCGTACGACTCGTACAGCAATCACTATCACTTGGCTTAAAATATTTTTGCCCTTCCTTGCCTTTAAAGGAGTACCCTTTGCCGTGCTGATGTTGCTACATGCTTTACTTCTTGCTTATCTCACACTGCGAATTTTTTCTAAGCTCTATACTAAACATTAAATCTGTTACGAAAAAAGAACTAAACAAAATGAACACAAAATGATCAGCTTTAGAAAAAGACTCGTAACTGGAAAAACCGAATGAAAAAAAAATGTTAACTACAAATACTTTTTCACACCCAACCCAGTTCTGCGGAATCAGAATCAATGTTGAGTTGGAGTAAAGTGCCATGCAGATTTAAATTTTTCCCACTTGGGATGAATGCAGCTATCGATTTTTTTTTTTTTTTTTTTTTGCATGCTAGTTAACATTCGTGTCAGTCAGCTGTTGGCTCTCACGTTGGCCAGTAGAATCTTCCTGCCTATTCATGGCAGCCAGCTATAGGCTCTCATTCTGGCCAGTAGAAAATGGCCGCAAACTACATGAAAACTGCTGTAGAAGCAAGAAAAAATCACTTATTTCCACTATCGATGGGAGTTGGGAAATGCAATGTTGGTCTTGGCCTTCCCGCTAACTTGGAACATGTGCATGTAAATTTTGGTGCAAATCCGTCGAAAATTGTGGCCGTGCATTTGTTACACACATCCTGCCTTTTATAGATTGGTTTTCTGGTTCCTATTTAAAGTCTCTTCTTTCTCTTTCACTTCCACTATTCCCTTGCACCTTATTAGTGTTATCACCTTCCTTGTGGTGAATTTAATAAAAAATAAATTATTGAAAATGACTGGAGAGGAGAAAAAAGTCATTTTCTGAATGAAATTAAACATTTATATTATGAAATATTTTCAAATGTTTTTCTTCAAGGTCTCTCTAGTTTATTTTTAATGAAAAAAATGCTTTAATTAAAAAAAATGCAAGTTTTTGTCCGTTTCCAGTTGGTCTTGAGTTTTACTTCCACTGATTCCCAAAAGTGGATGAAAGTAGATGCATTTATAAAGGTAGCTTCAAGTTGAAAGCACAACCAACTTAAACATTTGTTAAGCCTAACCATTTCTTCAGTGTTTGAAATTTAGGCATTGTTGAACATGGGCAATATCATCATCATTATAATCCTCAATGTTTTCAAGTGTGGTTATAAGTTCAACAATACCCTGGTCACTTAGGTGTTCATTATCAGAGCAGTGTGCATTGAACCAATAAATTATTTCTGTTTATTTGACATTGCTGTAAATTTTGTTTTTATTATTTCAATTTGAGGCCATATCAGAGTGTATGATAACAAAGTATAACAAAATGTGATTTGTGTTGAAAAGTAAAACCACAGAATGAACTGTCTTGTCCTGTTATCATTGATGTTCATTCATGTCTGGATAATTGTAGTAAGAATAATAGAGGAAATATGGTATTCTGTCTTATCCTTTTTATCACTATACTCTAGATTGATATACTTATTATTATTACTATTATTTTATTAGTAGTTTTACTGAATTTTATTATTGTTATTTTTTATCATGACACTGTAAATTGATAAACTCTGGGACACAAAACAGTATATCAACAATAAAGAAATTGCTTTTGATGAAATTTGAACTTGCATTCTACATCTTGAAAGCTTATCTTTCATGGACATCATTTTAACCATTCTAGTCACTGAATTCTTAAAGATTAAATGAAGTGCAACTTGTAATTATTTTGCTATTTCCTTTTTGATTCATGATATCTTTGCTTTTGTAGCTGATGACTCAACTTTGGAATGTTATGAGAAAAAGCACTGGAGAAAACTTGTCATAATATTTATCTGAATTAATGAGATGAGAAATTATCATTATTAGGCACTGATTTCTTTATCTTGGCTGTTTTAGTTACCATGTTTTGGCCATTGTACGTTTCAGCGTTTTTTTTGGTTTTTTTTTTTTTAATGTCTGTTATGCATTTGATAACCTTATTTAATAAGCTGATTTAGACTGTTCTCATGCCAGTCCATGTGAGGGGAGATAACTCATAGTAGCTAATTGCTCTTAGGTTGTCCTGATGGTGCTTAGAATGCTATTTTGACAGGTATTCTATGTGAATTTAATCCTCAACAGGTGTAGAATGGAAGAAGAAATGAAACAACAATACTACTGGTGAGGTATGTCTTTAAATGTAGGCAAGGGAGGTAAGTTAGTAAAGTCTGGAGTTAATGTTTTTGGGGTCACAGTAGTGATGTCCAGACTATGCTGGTGTTGACAGCTTACCTGTTGGCTGTGTTCTGTGCCAGTTGTTTGAGTAGCTTTCTTAAAGCAAGTCTAGTGGTTACCACTCATTTTTTTTTTTTTTTTTTCATGTTTTTTCTTTGGCAGCAATGTTGGTGACTGACTTCTTATTTTGTGTGGGGTGGATGGGGGTTCAAGCAAAATGGGAGTGCCGCTAGTATGTACAGAGAGTATAAGTAAGGGAAAAGACTGGGTATTGGAGGAAAGGAAAGGATAAAAGAAGAACAGAAGAGGATAATAAAGAACAGGGATCAAGGCAACAGAAGATGTTGATTGACATTACATTTAAATTTTTAAATATTATAGTTATCAGGGAAGCAAGTATGAGGAAGGGAGTTCCACTGTCGGGAAGTGTGAAAGAAACTGTTGGAGTAGAAAAGGTGGTTACATTTAACTGTTTCAACAGTAAAAGGGTGGGACTTAGATGCCAACCTAGTAGCATGCTTAAATTTATACATTCAGGACACCAGTGAAAATAGCTTGTCAGAGCAGATGCCATGAAAATATTTATAGAAAAGACAGAGGAAAGCCACATTAAATTGGTGAGAAATTGACTGGAGTTGAAACTCCAGGTCAGGATTGATCATCTTGCATATCAGTCTTTGGATTTTGTTGAGAACCTCGAGATAAGCAGTGGGGACAGTTGACCTTATATGGCAACATTATTCCATGTTTTTTTTTTTTTTTTTTTTTTTGTGGGCCAGATGTGATGTTCAGAGCCCCTGCACAAAGGATGACTGTCTATATATATATATATATATATCCATCGATCATATATATATGAAGTGATTAATATTTTATTTATCAATCATACAGATTTTATAACTTAAATGTTATTTTTAGTGGATGCTCAAATTTATGTAGACACTCCATTTATTTATTAAACAGTATATTTACTCATTTCCACTTACCAACGTGAATATTTCAGAAATCTTATTAAAGAAAAATATCCGATGATCTCCATGACTGAGTTGGTGTAAGCATGTTGGATCTAATGATGGTTTCTCCTGCCAAGGGGGATGCAGGTTTTAAACCTGCTGGAGAGTACATATTTTTCTTTAACAAGACTTTTTAAATATTCAGGCCAGTAGACAAAAATAAATATACTGTTTAATATAAAAAAAACAAAACAGTGCGGCTATTCAAATATGAATATCCACTAAAAATAATGTTTAATGTGATATATATATATATATATATATATATATATATATATATATATATTAATTAATACTTGGTTGGAAAAAAAAAAGCTTGGATAGTGCAACTTGTCGATATGTCAAAACAAATTGGTACGAGAGAAAAAAATTGTAAAAAAATGAAAACTAAAAAACATTTGAACAGGGCAAAACAAATTGTCCAGTGCCTTAAGTCTTTAGTTCAAAAAAAAAAAAAACCCAAACAAGTAGTAAAGCTAAAATATAGTGCTCTATATGCTAAATAGAGTAGGAAGAAATAATGAACAAAGATATTTTTTATATATATATATATATATATATATATATATATATATAATATGTATGTCTGTTTTTCCTGAGGTCCCTACAAATATTATACCATTGCCTATGATTTATGGAACACACATGCAGATTTCTGACAAGAAAAGTATCTATTTTTCTGAATATTTTGGATGCTAAGAAAAGCAGAATTTCTAGACGATTTTCGTAGTCATGGCTACAGCTCAATCTTTACTGGTTTCTCCACTATATTTACTCATTGTTTCAGACTAAGATCCTCTTCTTTCACCCTCTACCCCGGAAGGAGTTGTTGGGGCACAGATGTGCTAAGCTGTCCACCATTTTCTGCTATCTATCATCGTTATATGCCAGAGCCTGGCTCTCCACAAATGTTTTCTTGGTCTGCTCATCATGTGGTGGATCTTAGGCATTTTAACCTGGCAGAACCCATCCCTCTCCAGATTTAACCACAGCCTATGTCCTCCACCTAGGTGACTCACCTTGGTTGCAAACATATGGTCATTGAAGTTCATCTGAAGAACCTTTCCACCCTGGCCGGTGACCTGCATCAAAAAGGTCCTTTGTCCAGTGGTGCTGTGTTAACACTGCACCCTCACGTAAGTTTAGCCTGCTAAATGAAGCAGTTTACTGGGGCATGGAAAATTGAAGTCATCATGTGAGGGATAGTTGAAGACTAAGCTTGGTAAATATAATAAAATATTGTAAAATACCTAATATGAATTTGATAAAAAAATGACCTGATATGTTTCAGTCTTCAGTGTTAACTCATCAAACCCAAAAATGGAATTTATATGTTTAAATATCAATCTTTCAGAATTGTGATTTTTGAAACAATCCACTTGTATCTAATGTCATATTTTATTGTATTTTAGCGTGAATATTATGCCACACATCGATATTTCCTGCTGAAAAGATCTCTGTACCTGGTCATATGGAAAATTACTGATGGTGAGGAAGGAGTTAATGGAATGTTACAGTGGCTGATAAATATTCAGGTAAGTAAAAAGTATAAACAGATAAGTGTGAAATGGCATCCTTAAAGAAATGAAAATTATGATAGAGAATGAGGTTCTTTATTTGGGGTTGGAATGGTTTCTAAGAATGTTTGAAATGTACTGCAAAAACATAAGGTATTCTAGGTAATTTGACAGATGAAATGATGGATCAATATCTGTTCAATTTCAAAAACTTTTAGAACAGCATTGTATGTGTGTGTAGTTTTATATGTGTACTTGTACATGTGGCAGCATTCAGGTTGACCTGGCTCTGTTAATTGAAATTGCCACACCTCAAAAAATGTGCAAATTCATGAAAGTTTCAGTGTGAATTTGGATTCATAAGTGGTCCTCAGCTGCATGTATACACAATTTTAGGATAGCATGTTCTGAGTGGTTCCAGGCTGGTTGGAATTCAGTTTTCTGTCTCCTAGACTAGGTGCCAACTAAGATTATAGGATCCAGTCTGTCCTGCTATTTACAAGTCAAAAAATCCACCTCTTCTCTCCTAGCTATAAGTTAAATTGCATGCACAAAGGGGGTGCTGGACTGTTATGCAATATATGGCTGTTAATACTAGACAATATTCTCATTGATGAAGGAAGATGTGGTTTAAGGCAACAGTGTGGTAATTCTACAGAAGTGTGCTAAGAATACCTTGTGACAGAACATGTTAGAAGCGAGGTAGTTTTAGTGATGATGGCAGTAAAAGTGACACTTCAAATCTGAGAGAACTGAAATTTGTTGGGTACATGATTATGGCTATGAGAATTTAATACTTACAAGATCTATTGAAGATAAGAGGGATGGAGAAAAATAGTAAGTAACCTATCTAGCAAGCTTGTGTAAGCTTGTTTAAGTGATTAGCAGAACAGGGATTGGCTGGGATAGTAAAAAGATAAATATTTCTAAGAGTTACAAAGGATAAGAAGTAGTGGAGAGCCATGATCATTCATGTCCAGAAAGAGCATGGCACATAGAAGACTGTTGTGTGTAGTTCATATAGAAAATAAATAGAATGCCAACACTGCTGAGTATGTACATTTTTTTAGTGCTACTGTATTTATGCATATTAGGATGTTCCTGACCTGGCATCTCGGCTTCAGTCACTTTACCACTGCCGTGATGTAGCCTACCTGTGTCTTCTATATAATAAATGTCAGTGTGTCACTGTGTCCCCATTTTTCAATTAAAGGGACACAACTCTCAATAAATCATCTGTATTATAAATGCCAATGTCAGTTTGTCACTGTGGCGCACTTTTTCAATTAAAGGGACACAACTCTCTAACTTTCATGGTATAAAAATTTTGGATTCCCAAGTTTTCATTACTGCAATTGTTTTTGGTGATGATTTTATTTATTTATTTATTTTTTTTTGTACAATAAGTTTTTGTAACTGGAGATAAATTTTGGAATGACTGAAATTAATTGCAAAATTCAGTGAAAGTCACTCAAGAAATAAAAATAATTGTTTGTACAGAAAGTAAGGACCTACATACATCAAACTGTCTTTAAATTAAATGATGGCAGAAGAATTATTAATTTTTTAAAAGATAAGCTTAAATATTAATGCAATACTTAAATGCAATGATCAATTTTGAGTTTATTGTTGCCTGTCACATGTGGCAACAGTATGCCTTATAAAAAGAAATCTCCACCAACAGAGGATCAGATTGCAATCAAAAGAACCAAGGCTGTAGCGAGGAAAAAAAAAAGTGCCATGCAAATGAGAACCCAGAACAAACGGCAGCCAAGAGAGCTTCCAATGCTGAGAATACGCAAAGATTTAAGGACTTGCAAATTCCTGAACAAGCTGAAGGTCCAATCAAGACCCCTCCACAGGAGCTAGCTTACATGTTGCCCACCCAATAGGGTGGTTTTAAGCAAGTTTTTTTTTTTTCCTCCATAGTACCAGAACTGCATGAATTTAAGCACAGTACTAGATTGGCAACTAGGTCTCATTATTTTACTGTTGAATTAGCTTGATGCAACCATTAGTTTTATTTTAAAAGTTTTTCTTGCCTGTAGAACTCTATTCTATCTTCTTGCTTCCCTGTCATTTGCAATCTCTAAAACTTTAAGTCCAACATCAATCACTATATTTTGTCTTCCCAAGCCCTGTTTTTTATTGTCCTTTCTCCTCACCGACATCTTTCTCATTTTCATTCACCATTAGTAACCAATTGTGTATTAGTGCCTTGCATGTATTTATGCACATTAGAATGTGTTCGTAGCCAACTGATTAGAATATTTACTTTCTGACCATGAAACTCCAGTTTGAATCTCGTCATGGTCAATTTGTCAAGTGACTTCTTGATGTTATTGGTCTGGAGAGGTGATCCCAGCACACAGAACTTTTTGGAAAGTCCCTGAAAACCAAAACTCTCTGTTGACCCAAGCCTTGTTAGGGAAATTAGATACACTGGTCCGTTTTGGAAGCTTTTGATGATTGTATTAACATGAAGTCAAAAGTCATCATGAACAAGTGTTTTAGTGTACAAGCCTCATTCCAAACAAAAATTGATCACACCATATTATGAACTCTCTTCCACAAACTGTAACTAAGATATGCTGAGCATAGTTGAATTATAAACTACAAGTAGGCTCTCTGGATTTGAGTAATGTCAGTTGTTATTTTCTGTCTGCTATATTCCTGTTCTTTTATTGTTTTCTCTATTGTTTTTACTTTTTCTCATATTCTTTCACACTCTGCAACCAACAAGCTTTTTTATAATGCAAACTGATAATTTTGTATTTTTATTTTATTTTAGTCACAAGCTCCTGGTTCCTCTGTGATAATTATTGGCACACATCTTGACATCCTGAAAAACCGTGCCACTCGTAACAGTTTTCCCAAAGACTTTGAAGATGCAATGATGAAGTTGATCAGTGAACGTTACATGGTACCAGAACCAGACAAGTGTGGTCTACCCAATGTCATTGATGCTTGGAATGTGAGTAACATCACGGGAAATAATGTGAAAAAGTTGCTGCAGCGAATTTACGATCAAGCTTTTGCCCTGAGACATCCACGTAAGTATTAAATCAGTAAGGCTATATTTATGTCTTAGGCAGGCAGCAATTCAGAGCTATTAATACAGATTGCATAAATTATGCAGTGGCCTGATAATAACAATCTTTGGGAGTAGTTTCAACATTTATAAAGAAGGCTTAACCAAAGACCTAAATCAATTGTCTTATCACTGATCAGAAGTAAATACATTTTTGGTATATAGAACCATCATAGTCTCTTATTTCATTCATGGCAAATAACAGACAGCATGACTGAACTTCTGTTAGAATTTTTTAGATGAGGAGTTATCTTCACATTATTTATGCTCAGGCTAATGTCTTCATCTTTGTTGTTTTTATCACAATGTTTCACTTGTTGTACTCTCTGGCCTTATTTTGGTGTCTGTCAGTCCAAGTAAACTTCAAAGTATAGAACCCTTTATTCAATCATTGGAAGTAGATAGTTTTCATTCTGTTTTCCTTGTTTATTGGAAACATGGGGAGCAATAACTGAGTAGTATCAAATAAGAACAAGATAAGATATCCCTAGACATAGTGGAACAAGAACAGTTTAATCCATAGATTTAATAAAGAGATTAGTTTGAAATTCCCTGAAGATTACCTGGATCAGCAGGCACCTGAAGACAGTCAGAGGTCACAATGGCCAAAATGTTGTGATAATAACAACAAAGATATGTCTCAGCTCTTATAATGTTCGGCCCCTGGAATTCTTGGCTCTTATAATATTCGGCCCCTGGAAGTCTCGGCTCTTCATTAAACTTAATGTGCATGCTGGTCATTGTTGTGTGCTATGCCATTTTGACAAATCTGAATTTATAATTTAAAATAATGTACACTATTTACATTGCTCAGACTATCATCTTCATCTTTGTTGCCATATTTATCACAATATTTCAACTGTTGTACTCTCCGGCCTTTTTCAGGTGGTTGGAATGTCGGACTGAACCCTTTACTTTGCTTGCTGGGGTAGACTTTTCTAGTTTCACGTGCCATGTCTAATGGATGTCAATTATCAGTTATCTCCTGTTAATTCCCCTCTCCAAGTTCTCCACTGCCTCAACTAGGTATTGAACTCACACTCTTTGGGTCCTATCACTGGATCTAACTAATGCCTTTATCCACTGTGCCATGGGTCCTTGAATTTCTGGGTATTATAAACCTAATGTCTTCAATCATTTTTTACCAGTGCTCATATTGCAATTTTTGCTGTTATCATTGTCATTTTTTTTACTAGAGCTCATATTGCAATTTTCATTGTTATTAGTGCTTTTCTAAATATTACAACCACCTGAAGAATGCCGGAGAGTTCAACAGCCGAAACGTTGTGATAAATATGAGAAAGATGAGGATGATAGTCCGGGCAATGTTAATAGTGTACATAATACCTCATCTCAGAAATATAGACAAATACTAAAATAATGTACTTAATACACATGATTATACATTTTTCTGGTTACTTACAGAAGATTATCAGAATGAAAGAGATTTACTGGTCTCTAAGATGCATGAAGGACAATGGTATTTGGAGGAATATCACTTTCTGTAACTAATAGGAATATCACTTTCTGTAACTAATAGGAATATCACTTTCTGTAACTAATAGGAATATCACTTTCTGTAACTAATAGGAATATCACTTTCTGTAACTAATAGGAATATCACTTTCTGTAACTAATAGGAATATCACTTTCTGTAACTAATAGGAATATCACTTTCTGTAACTAATAGGAATATCACTTTCTGTAACTAATAGGAATATCACTTTCTGTAACTAATAGGAATATCACTTTCTGTAACTAATAGGAATATCACTTTCTGTAACTAATAGGAATATCACTTTCTGTAACTAATAGGAATATCACTTTCTGTAACTAATAGGAATATCACTTTCTGTAACTAATAGGAATATCACTTTCTGTAACTAATAGGAATATCACTTTCTGTAACTAATAGGAATATCACTTTCTGTAACTAATAGGAATATCACTTTCTGTAACTAATAGGAATATCACTTTCTGTAACTAATAGGAATATCACTTTCTGTAACTAATAGGAATATCACTTTCTGTAACTAATAGGAATATCACTTTCTGTAACTAATAGGAATATCACTTTCTGTAACTAATAGGAATATCACTTTCTGTAACTGATACCAGCTCATTAAACAATAATACGTGCATTGTTTTACATGTTGCCGAAATAGCAGACCTGAAAAGAAAAGCTCCTACAGAAGGTATGGTAGTGTAGGAAAGCGAGAAGAAAGGACTAAATATCAACTACAAAAAGACAGAATGCATGTTTGTTAGCAAAAGGATGAGCCTAACATGCAAATTACAAATTGGAGATACCAAAATCAAACAAGTACAAAAATTTAAATATCCAGCAAGTATTTTAACAGAGGACTCAAAGTGCCAAGCTGAAATCCAAAGATGAATTAGGATAGCCAAAAATGCATTCTAAAAGCTAAGCAGGGTATTAAGAGACAAAAAAAATTTTGTTAAAAACAAAGAAAAGAGTACTGAACTGTTACGTGATATCTGTCCTCTTACATGGTACTGAATGCTGGACATTTTCCTCAAAGATTAAGAAGAGACTTGAAGCAACAGAAATATGGTTCTACAGAAGGATACTGTGGACTGAACATGTGAGCAATGACAGTTTTAAAGAAAATGGTGGGGGGGAAGAAAGGAAATTTATACTTAACACCAGAAAGAGGCAGTTGAAATTTTGGAGGCATGTTAGGAGGAAGGAGGGTTTGGAAAATCTGATACTCACAGGACAGGAGGGCAAGTGGGACAGAGGAAAGCAATACATAACATATTTAATGTACTTCAGTAAATGGATGGTGAAGAAGGATTTAGGAGAAACAACAAAAAGACAAAATTAAGAGATTCAAAAGAAGTAAATTGTGGAGAGCCATGATTGTCTACATCCTGAATGGACATTGCACGTAAAGAATTTAAATTGTAATCTTCATTCCACAATAACAGTCAATGTCAGGCCTGTCACCAAAGTGTTTTGTGTGGTGGGGGTTGCAAGTTGCTCCATTCCCCCAGGCCCAATTAAGATGATTGGCCTGGCCTATTTGTATCTAACAAATTATTACCAAAAGTTTTTTCTTTTTTCTTTTGAATAGGAAGAGTTTTACATTAAAAGAATATTTTTGATTATTTTTTTCTAATGATACTGCATGCTTATTATACAATGAAAAAATATGGTACTGGTTATTTTGTTTTTATTATCATTATAAACAAACTGAGAATAGATTGATAGACGCAGTTTGCTTAAAATACTTACATTCTTTCCATATGTTTGTTGGCATATTTTGATAATAGGTAGAATCATTGGACAGTTGTAAGTTAATATAAATCTTTTTAATCCAATATCATTTTTAGATCTGGTAATTGCTTTAAATGTGAACTTAAGATTGTAGATGCATTGCAATGAGTTAATAATTTATATCAGGAAATCAATATGGATTTTAATTACACTAAAAAAAAAAATGACCAATAAAGTTTGAAAAATATTTTCTAATGCTATTTTTTTTTTCCAGGAAGCAAAAGAACTCTTCTACTAAAACAGAAAATTCCCAAAAAATATTTGTACCTTCAAGAAATTGTTCAAGAAATTGCTGATGAAAAAAAAGCCAGAGGTGAAGACCCAGTTCTCAGTCGAGAGCTTTACAAGTAAGCCTCTGCATTTATGTATCTCTGTATCTATTCTGTTTTAAGTGTTTGTATATAATTTATTATTATGATCCAATCTATATATACATGTGCATATACCTACCTAATTTGGAAAAAAAAAAAAAAATATATATATATATATATACACACAGAAAAAAACAAACAAACAAAAAAAAAAAACTATATATCAGGCTAATAGTGGGTAACTGAATGACAAAGTAGAAAAAAAACTGATCTGAGAATGCCATGGACTGAACATGTGACACAAGGTTTTACATGAAATCGAAATAAAAAGCAGACTTATACTTAACATCAGAAAGAAAGAGTTGAAATATTTCTAGGGTACATAATGAGGAAAGAAAGCTTGGAAAATTTGACACTCACAGGATATATTTAAGGTAAGAGGGACAGAGAAAAACAGTGCAAAATCTACCAACAATGACAGGATTTAGGAAAGATAACAAAAAGATAAACTTTACTAAATGAGAGGAAGTTTAGGACGGCCATGATAACCAATGTCTTGCAGAGATAATTTTATTTTCAAATTTAATGGATATTTATTTGAAATAAAAGATGTCATTTAGACTGACCACTAATTCATGTCAGGCATACCATTACTATTTTTTTCTTTTTGGTTTGTGTGTATATATATATATATATATATATATATATATATATATATATATATAATCTTATCCATGTTAGACACAAACTGGATATCTCTGGTTAGTAAAGATTCCATGGATCTTTCCTGTCAATTCCCCAAAATTTTAAAAAAAAAATTACTAAAATTCACAACGAATTCTCCCAGAAAACTTTCTTTTTTTTTTTTTTTTTTTTTTTTTTTTAAATTGTAAAAAATTCCTTGTAAGTACCTTGAATATCAATCTGTTCTTATGAAATGTGAATAACTCCCTGATTTTTGGTAATTTTTCATTCTGAGAATTGAAGTTGTTGCAAGGTGAGCTAAACAAATTTTGATTTAAAATTTATGATTTCTTGGGGGAAATTAATATTTTTGATAAGCCACTAAACATTATTTGGGGTGAATTAACAGAAAATATCTGATTCCATGACAAGATTTTTCTACTGATGTTTTAATTATTTTGTGTCTTTTAGGATTCAGGTTATGAATAAAATGATGGAACGCATTGGAACGTCATTCAGGGATGTTGCAGAATTGGATCAGGCGACCCATTTCCTTCATGAAAATGGTAAACTATATTTCTTTTTTTTCTCTTTATCATTTGTCTGCAGGAATTTTGTAATTATAGATTTTCATTGTAGTTATTTTATCAAGAATACTTATCCAAGTTATGGAGGTAGCCCATTATGTAGTTTTATAATCACCATCATTCATTAAGTCTCGTTAAGTATATCTGCTAGAGACTTAACTTTTCAAACTCTAATCATCCAAATGGCTTACAAACATATTGCATTGAAACATTGGTTCCCATATAATCACCAAAGTTAAGCAAGTCTGATCAGTATCTAGATGGGTGACTGCTTGGGAATACCAGGTGTTGTAAGCATTGATGTACAAGTTGTGTAATGGGCTTACAGCCAGATCAGGTTGAGACGCAGGGTTCCAGTACGATCACCAAAGTTAAGCAATGTCAAACCTGGTCAGTAGTTAGATGGGTGTCTGCTTGGGAATATCAGGTGCTGTAAGTGTGGATGTGCAGATGGTGTAATGGATAATTGCTTGGAATTGTTAACCAGAGAGCAATGTTCCAATTCCATTTGGGTTCATTATATTCAGTTAGCTGCAAATACCCTTAAGAAATTTATGAATCTCTCTCTTCTCCCCATAGCTTGGGTTAATTAGTAAGACTTGCATCACTAAACCATTATCATAAAGAAAAAAATTGCATACAAAATATTTAGATTTCATCATTAAATAGCACATACAGGTTGATATACTGCTAAAAAAAAAAACAAAAAAAAAACAACCAACCTATCTTATCATTCAAATGTACATTTTTCTGATGAAGTTGAATTGCCTGGAGAATTTTTTTATGTGTATATGTACAAGACTAGCAGCATGACTTGGCGTTGCCCGTGCTTGATTCAAGAATCGTACGACTCATACAGCAATCGCTATCACTTGACTTAAAATATTTTTGCCCTTCCTTGCCTTTAAAGGAATGCCCTTTGCCATGCTGATGTTGCTACATGCCTTACTTCTTGCTTATCTCTTTTCGAATTTTTTTTTCTAAGCTCTATACTAAACATTAAATCTATTTGAAAAAAGAACTAAACAAAATAAACACAAAACGATCAGCTTTAAAAAAGGACTCAGTAACTGGAAAAACCGAATGAAAAAGAATGTTAACAACAAATACTTTTTCACACCCAACCCAGTTCTGGGGAATCAGAATCAACATTGAGTTTAAGCAAGCGAATGAGCCAATTGGAGTAAAGTGCTATGCAGATTTAAATTTTTCCCACTTGTGATGAATGCAGCTATCGATTTTTTTTTTTTTTTTTTTTTTTTTTTTTTTGCATGCTAGTTAACATTAGTCTCAGTCAGCTGTTGGCTCTCACATTGGCCATTAGAATCTTCCTGCCTATTTGTGGCAGCCAGCTATAGGCTCTCACTCTGGCCAGTAGAAAATGGCTGCAAACTACATGAAAACTGCCGTAGAAGCATGATAAAATCAATTATTTCCACTATTGATGGGAGTTGGGAAATGCAAAGTTGGTCCTGGCGTACCTGCTAACTTGGAGCATGTGCATGTAAATTTTGGTGCAAATCCATCGAAAATTGCGGCCGTGCATTCAATATACACACACACACACACACACACATCCTGCCTTTTATTGATAGAAATTTGATCAAAAAGTATTGGGACTGGTGCTATAAAAGAAAACTACAACACATCAATTCAGCGTTTAATCTCCTTCAAAATAGTTCCATTCTGAAACCACAAGTTTCTTTTGATGGAAATATTCTTGGAACTCCTTTTTTAGGATAGTCAGTAGCTGCCTCATTGCATCCTCTTAGGTTTCCTCAGTATCTTGAAATCTTGTTTCTTTTGATTGGGATTTGATTTTTGAAAAGATGAAAATGTTGCAAGGGATGAGATTTCAGGAAGATGGTGATAGTTGGACCTGGGGGAACATTTTCCTCAGTCAAAAACAGCTGCACAAGCCATAGTCACTAATGAAACCTCTGTGGTGCGATGAGATGACCACACACTACACACTTTTCTTCCAAGAGTTGCTAAAAACAATGGATGCAAGAAAGAATGTTTAAATTTAGTATGTACATGCGACAGAATTCAAGGTCACTCTGTGCCAATCGGCTTCACTCTGTGTACTTTAGCTCCATTATCATAGCAACAATACCAATACTTTTGATTAAACCGTGTGTGATATATATATATATATATATATATATATATATATATATATATATATATAAAATAAAAGCGAGAGAGAGGGGTGTATCAAAAATACTTTGACAAACATTGGGAGCAGGCTCCTGACACCAAAACAATGTAAAATATCCAACCTTATTCATGTAATGCACCCCTAAAATTTTTTAATGTTTTCACACTCTTTAAAAATGATAATTTATTTAAGAATAAAGGTGAAGGTGATCAAAACAAACTTGTATGATCAATTTTTAATAATATATAAATGAAAATGAAACCTATGGAAAAATAAAACTTATTACAACAAATTAAAAGTTGCATAAACCCTACAAAAAAAATAAATTTTCATCCATGCATAACATTTCTTTAAAAATATAAAGAACAAATATTCATATGCCAGTTAAAACTTAATGACTCTTTTGTTCCTGTTTGTTGCTTAAGAGTTTTTAAAAATATAACTTTGCTGCTGATAGTAATTTGCATGTCTGTCTGTGATCACCCAAGTGATTTCTAGATTTTGTCTTGATTGACAAAAGGGCACTAAATCCAGACTTGCAAACACAGATGTTGTTGCAAATGAGATGACACAGTGCTTTTTCACAAAGTCTTTGAAACCTGTCCATTGCTGAACACCAATATTGTTCTAAAGTTTTGCTTTCAAACTGCATTCCAAGAACACAATTTATGTGCTGTTCAATAAGATCTTCTTTCAGCTCTTCATCATCTGACATATTATCTGAGTTGAAGGCGTATGGATTTATAATCCATTCTTCAGAAGTTTCCAGTTCTCCTCCTCGAAAATATCCATCAAATGACTTTGATAGTATTTCCAAATGATCCACAATTTCTTCAGACACACTTAGGGACTCTATTAGGGACTCATCGTCATCAATCATTTCTTTAAGTGATGGAAAATTTGAAAGATTCTCTCTTATTTTAATTTAAGTATATAATTAAATTTAAAGTTTTTAGCTTCCATTTTTGAAACATGGTTATTACTGTGTAGTGAAAAAAAACATAAATCAGTTAATTTATAATATTTATGCTCTGTAAATTTACATTGAGCACTGTTTTATAAAAAATAACAAGAACACCGGATTATATATATATATATATATATATATATATATATATATATATATATATAGTGGGGGCACCTTGAGTTAGTGTAATGGTTAGCAAACTTGTCTTGCTAGAACAATTACGGCTGTGTAGTGACTTCAATCCTCACTGGGTACCCCCTTCTTTTGACCTTGTGCCACATCTAAGCTATGTCTGGAATATATATATATATATATATATATATATAGTGTATGTTTGTGTGTATACAGGTTAAAGTAAAAACATGGCAGAAGAGCAGTGAAGAAACACTGAAATTTAAACGGAGAATTTAATGACTGAGATGGAATGATTACGTTGAGGATAAGATTGGAGTCTTCAGACTTTTGTGTTCATTTTGATAGGCTTTGTTTGCTTCTATTAAATCCATTGAAATTTTTTTTTAAAAAATGGCTTTTTCACCAACCTTAGTAATATATTAATTCAAGAAATTTTCCTTTAAGCTATAACCATTTTTTTCTGTCTTTTCAGGTGTCTTGTGTCACTATGAAGATGTCAACCTGTCTGACACTTATTTCCTTGACCCTCAATGGCTGTGTGACCAATTAGCTAAGGTAGTCACTATCCGGGAGGTCAATAAGTTTGCTATCAATGGTTAGTAGTTTAGAATATATCTTTAGTCAGTTTTAATTTATATATTAAATTCTTTTCAGTAATTTTAATGGCAGAAAAGCAGTGAAGAAACACTGAAAAAAAAAAAGTAATTTTAAGCCTTACAAAAATGTTAAACATTTATTTACACTAATTTAAAAAAAATACAATATATAAGATCATTGTGGCTTATCTGTTTTATTTTTTGGAAATTAATATAGAATGAAAGTTGTGGAACAACAAATTCTTGTGCTTTAAGAGTAGTTTCTTCCTTCTCTTTGGATATCTCATTGAAACAATTATTCTCTTACAGTCACCAAAGTTAAGCAACATTGAGTCTGATCAGTAGCTAGATGGGTGACCACTAGGGAATACCAGGTGCTATAAGCTTGGATGTATGAGTGGTGAAATGGATAATAGCTTGCAGTTGGAAATCAGAGCCGTTCTCCAATTGCTGTCGGGTTCCTTATATTCATGCAAATACCCTTGTAAAGGTATGAATCCACCTCTTTGCTCCCCAGCTATGGATTAAATAGTAGGACTTGTATCAGTAAATCATTACTTCTCCCAAAAAGAATTCTTACTCTCTAAAAATAACCTTCAAAAGCCATAAAAAAATCAATTGATTCTTTTCTCTCAAATGATGCGTGACACTCCTTGTTGACCCATGTAATGAATGATGTGCTATGACAAACTGGATTTATTCATCATGTACAATTGCTTTCATTCTTACATTTTAAGTATCATTCAGTACTAGTGATTGCGGTTTTTACTAACAACCATAGTGTTCAGCAAACTAGAATTGGTTGACCCATGCCGTTAATAGGGTACTAATAATATATCATGTTGGGATAACCAGTTAATGGCAGTTAATAATATCTCATCATATTAAGTTACCAGATAATGGGTGAGCTATGGAAGAAAGGAATATTCTCCAGTTTGCGTTTCCCTCATTATGGGCCTTATTATATCTATGATATAATAATACCTTATTTCACTTATTAGCTGAAAGAAAAGGACTGGCAAACATGGTTTGTTCTCAGGGTTTTATGACGCTAAGTCAGACACAAAATTATATGTACATATTTACATGTGTCCCATTCTGAGAAACTATAACACATATCTACACCACAAGCAGTATGAAAAAGGTAATAAAAAGATAGGGTCTTACTTGTAATAATTTCCAACAGGAATTTGATCTGCCAGAGTATTCTTTTGTGTTTTTGGAGAAGCCATATTTAGGATTCCAGATTCAAGCAGTAGATTTATCTATTTCCCTAGCTAGGACATATTCCTCTCAAACAGGAAATTGCAAGTCATGGGTTTTTTCCAACAAAAGGACTGTGAGCTGGAGATAGTTTCTGTATCTGGTGAATTCTTGCCCATCTCTTTTTATACTATTGTTCACCTAGTACAGACTCCAAGAGCCACTCGATGTAGAAGGCTACTAAATTAGGTTTTTCTAAAGACATACAAGGTAGAAGTAAGAGATGTATATTGTGAAGATATGTAGGATAGATAACAATTATCCCCTAGACTTGAAGAGGTTAAGATTGTAAGCATCTTTTCCAGAGTCAGTTCCAGCAATTCTAGAGAGAAAGCTATCTGTGTGGGCCTTCCTCCTTACAAATGGAATATAAAAGGAATGAAGATGAGTCAACACATGCAGATTCCTAGTTGTGAAAGTCTTGACTAGTGGAACTAAAGACTGAAGCTTGTCTAAACATTGTGTATGGGGGCAAGGGTTTATAAAAATTCATCACCCATAAGGCCGTGTAGAATTTTTTTTATTTTTTTTAACTCTATCGAGGCAGGAAAATGAAGATCGAGTAGTTCTGGCCCAGATATGTAACTAGAGATCTGCTGCTGCTTGTGCCTGGTTATTTTATCATTAATGTTTTCTCCTCTAGGTGGCTAAAGTTTTGTCTGGCTCCTACCCACTGACCTGACTGGCTCAGTTAAACCTTCCAGAAGATAAACTCCTGCCAACATAGCTCTCTGTGTCATAGGAGCATGCAAGCCACTCCACCACATGATAGGTATATAATCATGGAGAGTTAGTCAATGTTATTAACATTTCCACTAGTGTGGATGTACTTTATGAAACTTAAGTGGTGTCTATATATGGATATAGACAAAAGGAAAACTTATCTTAGCTCATGTGTTTCCTCCTCTGTGGTACTTTATCAAAGCAAATGCAAGGATTTTATTTTTTAAATAAGTATTTCTATGCAAGAGCAAAAATGTTATTGGTTTTTTGATATTAGGAACACTCACAAGTATTCATCAGGTTAGCGGAAATGTTAGCCAAGCTATGGTGAAACATGAAGTGATACAATTCACTGTCTAATAAATGGAAGTTATAAACTAACTTGCTCTTAGTGTTATTTCCAAACTAGTGTTAAAATGGCAGCACCTATGAGAAATATTCATATAAGAAATTTCTAGTAAATGAGAATTTTCTATTTACACTATTTACATTTGAACAGTTGACCTCATGTTTGTTATTACATTTTGGCCAGTGTGCCCTCTGTAGACTTCATCAGGAGTATATTGATTGAGATCAAATTTATCTTGTATATCAATTTTAATATTAAATTACAGTGGAGTTGACCAGAAATATTAATTTTTTGTTTTTAAAAATTTTTTCATTTTTATATTACTATAAATTAAGTACTCCAGGGCACAAATGTTCAGTTTTATAACAGTTAATGGTGGTCCAATTGGCTTTGTAAATTCATTGTAAATTGATTCCATGCTACAGAAGCCAAAACAAAATATGCTCATTCTCATGCATAATTCCTTAAAATATAAAAAATTGAATATTTCTAAGTGGAAATTGGAGTTGTTTTTCATATATTACCATTGATTAAACCCCACAGACTACGAATTTCAGAGGTTTTCTTTGTTTTAAGAAATCACGTCTTATGTACATATTTGTTTTGGATCAGGTTAAAAAAAAAAAATTATATATTTTTGATCGCGGTGCCCAGTCCACCAAAGTTCAAAATTATTATTTTACTAGCTGTTTATTTTATGTGTTTCCTTTGACTTATGGGAGGTAACTCGTATTTAAAGTGCTTGAGTGATTTCCCTTAGATTAGACAATAAAATCTTACGCATTAATTTTTATCTTAAATTTTGTGGCAGAAATGTGATTATAAAAGTAATTAAACATGCGATTTTCTTGCAGCACAATTCATAACAGCCATCGAAAATAAATTCTTTAATCATTGAAGAATGAATAGTATTTTTAAAAACTAATTTAATTATGTGATGTACATTTTTTTTTTACAAATATGCTTGTAGAGGCATGTTAAGAGGAATGACCATTGTGAATGTTTGTTTACGTCTGCGTGAATAACATGACCACACAATTTATATTAAACATAAAATACCACAAAGCATGAAATACAAGAAGGAACAAAATGGTTTTAAAATAAACATAACATTGTATTTATTTGTGTGTTGATGTACATGCGTAGAATTAAAAATCTGATGGAGTTATGTCTCTTAGACTGGGAATATTTTTATCGGAGCTCACGAAGTTGAATTAATTATTAAACTGTAGTTTTAGAAGAATAAAGTTCTTGTTGCATGTTTGGAAATGTTCTGTATGTTTGTAAGGTAGGTTGGAAAAGTTTGAAAGTTCGTATGTACGTGAATGTGTGAAATATTATTTAACATCTGACTGCATGGTTGGGACGATAATTCTTAAAGGTCATCTTCGCAGGAAGAAGAGAAAAAGGCAAACTCTTGTTTGTTATTTATAGATAATGTAATCATGTGACAGGATCACCTTGGTGGGAAACTTGATTTAGTCATATGCTGGAAAGATATATTGTGTGTGGATTGATTGCAACGCCGACTTGTGTGTTTATTGACCAATTAAAAGCTGGTATTTCCTGAAAATATTTACTAAGCTGAGAAGGCTCTTGGGATTTGATTTTCCCAAAAGTGCATGAAATCGACTACATGAAAATATAGCAATTATAAAATTGTCGCATAGCTGCAATTCATAAATTGTCCATTACACAGTAGTGTTGATTTATTATCCAATGAATGCTGGTTGTTGTATAATTTGAATTTGTGTAAGTATGTGTGTGATGATCATCACATGCTGTATTTAAACTTGACTTCTGTGTGTGTATAATGTGAAGAAAAAAGGTTTTCTGCTTTTTATCCTGATATTAAATCTGAATAAAGCTGTCAAGTGCCATGTAATAACAAGAGACAAGTTTTGTATTCTGAAACACTTGTAGAATGATAATATGCTTGCAATCACATTGAAAATTATACAAACGCAACATGACAAGATGGTGGCCTGATAGGAAGGTTTGGCACACTAAAGTGATGACTGGATAGGAAGGCACTGCATATAAAATTCCATAAAGGATACTATTTTAATAAATATTGTGAACGTGAGGAAGAAAAAACATCCTAAAAGGAAGAAAATAATTATATTCTTAAACATTAATAAAGTTTTGTAATGTTTTTTTATATTTGCTTTTCATCAATTTTAACTTGGGAAATAACGTAGTTTGTTTTTTATTGGATATTACTATTTTTTTTAGGTGTAATGTATATGAAAGACCTTGGGCTGCTCTACAAGAGCCTCACACGTACAAATCATTCTGGATCACAAGGTTATATGTTGGATCTACTCAGCAAGTTTGAGTTAGCTTTACAGTTTGACAAGGACAAGCTTTTGGTACCATCATTATTACCAGCTGTGCCTTGCGAGAAACAAGTTCGGGTAAGTGTTGATGTTTTTGTTCATTCCACAAATTGTATCAGGGCTTTGTATCTGCTATTTTATCTGTGATATATTTTTCCATGTAAATGTGTTTAAAAATCAGTTTTGACAATAAGGAAATTCAAGCCCTGAAGACGGGGTTAAAATTGAAATAAAACCGTGCGACAAATATAAGGCTACTTGAAATATTAAAGTTATTTGCAAAAAAGAATATGAATAACTATAATGTTTCTGACTTAGATTTCTTCATTTACCATCATTGTATTTATTACGTTTGTGAGACTTACAAATGAAAGATCTTTTACAACAATTATTTTTCAGGTGTGGGAAATTATTATAGTTAATTTTCATTTTTCTCTTTTGGAAATGGCTCCTGATTTTTCTTTTTAAGTTTATAGTCATCTACACAGAAGTAAGGTGAATTATGGGAATGCTTAAAACGAGATATATAGGGTAGGATAAAGAACAAGTAGGAAATAGATCTTAATGTAACATGTTTCACTTTATTAAAGCTTCGACAGAGATCAAGATAGAAGTGATAAAAAATGATAAAAAGCAGAGACACAAATTAATGGTATGTTGTGCTTAGTTATTTCTTATTGGATAGATCCGTGTCACGTAATGAAGTAACAGATGATATTCAAATATGTGTGACAAGCATTTAAAGAGACACACACACACACACACACACACACACACACACACACACACACACACATATATATATATATATATATATATATATATATATATATATATGTGTGTGTGTAGCAAAGGAGTCGAATTCAACAGTGTAAGGGACGCAACTCTTTCCGTCTGAAAATGTCCGGCATGCTGCAAAGCAATGTACACCAAACACGGGTGTAATGCCCCTCTGCCAATTTCTCCAAGCGACCTGCTTTTATGGAGCTCGGACGCACCTCATTAGCATGTGTGTAACGCAACTTTGCGTGACTGCACGAGACCGTGAATATTAAAAGTCACGGACGTCATCTTGGATCTTTCCTTTCCTTTCTCAACCCACAGGCCAGACAGACGCGAGGACGTTTGGGAGGTAAACCATTTCTATTTTCCCCACAATATATATGTATGTGTGTGTGTGTGTGTTCAGATATGTAGAAAAATAGGAAAGAACATGTTAGGTAAATAATCCGGAGTTCTTTAGTATTTTTGTTTTTATTTTTAAAAAACAGTGCTCCATACAGAAGTAGAGCTTAAATTATAGTTATTTTTTATTTTTATATATACACACACACTGAAATCATCAACCGTATATCAATGAAAAGTGCATATATAAGAGAAAAATGAGAAAATAAACAGTCACTTGCTTATATCCCCTGACGAGTGGACGGAGTAATTGCTCAAGGGTCTGTCTGCGAAACTCTAGTAGAAATGCTGAAGGTAACACCAATCAACTAAGTGATGAATTTTATATTTGTATTAATTATATATGATAAAAATATAGTTTTAAGCTATACTATATTTCCTGAGTAAAAGTACCCAATATCAAGGATAGTGGACACTGAAGTCAGCACTGAGAGATGACAATCTCTTTTCATAAATTTAACCTTTGCTACATTTCAATGGATTCAAATTCTTTTGCCAAAAAAAAAAAAAATGGTCCATTACCTTCTGGAAAACCACATATCATTTTGAAATGAAATTTAATTTTTAACCCTTCCTATTTGCAGGTAAAGCTAAAGGTAGAAGACGAGGACAGTGATGAAAGCAGATCACTTTCAGGATCAAATGAGGTTGATATGGACACTGTCCACTATTTTGGCAATGCCACCTTTTATTTATTTGCTGAAGAGTCAACAGAAAGGAAAGAACGAGCTCGTTCCTTCACAGAAGGAGACATGAAGAAACTGTCTGCTGAGGCTGTGCCTGTAACCTGGGAGAGATGCCAATTCGAACCAATTTACTCTATGTGTCGCCTCTATCAACTTATGTACTTTCCGAGTGGTTTCTGGCCACAGGTTATTACAAGACTCTTGGCAGACAAGCGTATTTACCCAATTGCAAAGAACTTATTTGAAATTGAAAACTGCTGTGCCAAGTGCAAAGTGTCACTTGATAAGGTTTTGGTGGACAAAATTAAGTGGCGATGTTGGCAAAAGCAGATTGAGCTCGTCTATGGCAATCATGTGATTCTTAGTGTCAAGGAAGCGGGGCCAGACTCACCCAGCGTTATGTGCGACTTCTCCCACTGCTCAGTCCTGTGTCATATGGGCCAACGGTGGGAGATGCTTGACCTGCGCCAGGCGTCTGTTCTTGAGCTCTGTTTCCCAACCAACCGCTATGTCCTTAACTACTACCACTTGCCGCAAAGTGTGATCAATGGAAGCCCTGTGGTCCAAGTGAAAAATCCTCACTTGCATTCAGCAAGGAAGACTGGAAATACACAAGAAAGCAGTACAGATAAAAACTGGTAAGCTCTGTAATTAGTACCAACATCTATTTCTTTTCAAATTTCATGGAATTACCATTAATTATGTGCCTTTCCATTTAGACTAGTATCCTCATCTTGGTTGTTGTACTCGCTGACTTTTCTTAGATATCTATCATTGTACTCAATAGCCTTTTTAGAATTTTGAACTGAACCCTTTATTCAGCCATAAGAGTAAGGTTTTTTTCATTGTGATTTCCTTGTTTTGGGGGGGTGTATCTTCTATTAATTAACATTCATTAGTCTTATTCAAGAGTCTTCTATGTGGGTGATCATGTCTCTCCACAGCTTATCTTTGTAGTTCTTAGTAATGTTTGATAGGTAGGTTCCTTGCTGCTTCTCTCTGCTCCTTCTGCCCACAATATGTGAGTGTCAGATTTTCCAAGTCTTCTTTCCTCATGTGTCCTAGAAATTTCATCTCTTTCTGATTCTAAGTGTCCTTTTTGTTTCCATTTTCCTTAAAACTTCCTTAACTGCTATGCAATATCAATCTTCTTGTAGGGGAAGTAAATGCCAAACAATATTCTCAAATGATGAAAAATCTTGAAGCAACAGAGATGTGGTTCTTATAGAGATGTTTTGAATATTTTGGCAAGGTGAAAACATCACCCCTTCAATGTTCCTTTTATACTGAACAATAGATAAATAAATGAGCAAATAACTTTATGTAATGGCTGCAGTGTTAGGCTTTGTGGAATATGATCCAGGTCGGTGTACATTCATGCAGCAGCTGTAAATTTTAATGATGACTGTCGATTAGAATAAAATCTAATGTGGAAATGTTCTGAATTGGTTAGGAATTGAGCATATTTATTTGAAATTTTTCTTGTCAGAAGATGCGTGTTGATCTCCATTGATTGTGACAATATTTTATTTTGTTCCTTGAATTTTAAGTGTTCATATCTGTTTTCTATTTAAGGTCTGTTATCTGTTCTTTGTTACATGTGTTGTGGTAATTCACTACACAGAAATAATAAGATGGATTAAAGCTAGTAATAAAATTATAGTGAAAATATTTATTCTGAAAAGCAACATAATTAAATAGTAGCCAGAACTAATATAATGGAATGGTCAAAAGGAAAAGGAATGAGAAACAAGCTTTGTTCTCAGAGAGAATTTTATACCACTAAGATATGCACAAAATGATATATACATATTTACACATGTCTTACACAAGGAATAATATATATCTACACAGACAAGCAAAGTGAAAGGAGATTGAAAAGATAGGGTCTTTTTTTTTCTTACACTAGTATTCACCTAATATAAGGTCCAAGAGCCACTGTGTAGACTTACTTTAGTGTAGGAAAGGACAAGAGTTAAGAATATAGATCTGAAGTAAATTTTAGATGGAACTGGAAACCCAATCCTAAACAGGAAACAAGATAAACCTCTGCTCCTGTTTAAAGGAAATATGGAGATTCTTCTGTATTTCTGGTGAAGCCATGTTTCAGACTCCTGATTCAAATGGGACACTTTTTTCTACTATATCTCTAGCAAGTACATATTCTGCAAACTGGAAATTCCCAAATTGAGGACTGTTAGCCAGATATTTTTGGAAGATATATTCCCAAAGGGAAATGGTACCACGGACTTGTAAGCTCTATTATTTGGCAGCTGGCTTCCCTGGGTGAAAGCCTGGGCAGGATGAACAACACACATCTTGCCACCAATAAGCTTACTGACTGAATGACTGACCACTTTTGTCATTATATGAAGTGATGCCACTAAGTGGCCGTTTATATGACTATCTCAACCAAAAGGAGATAATTGCCTTTTATATCCTTACACTAATAGTAAAAATTTTGGCAATGCTTGATTTAATAATAAAGTAAAAATAAAATTTGTAATAAAATAATTGTTTCATCTATAAAAAAAAAAAAAAAAATTAAAAGAAGAGAAACAGTTGTTTTTGCTCCTTTTTCATAAAAATGTTAAAATGACTTAATTTTTTTTTTTTATTATTAAAGATACTACTTCTGTATGCCATGTCCCTGAGGAAGTCGGTGATCATGGCTCTCCATAATTTCCTGTCTTTTGTAGCTCTTAATAAATTTTGTCTTTTTGTTATTTCTCTTAAACCTTGTTCTGTCAAGCTCACTGAATAGATTATGTGAGGTTTTCTTCTTTACTTCAATCTGTCCTGTGATTATCAGATTTTTCAGTCCCTCCTTCCTCAGGATGTGCCCTAGAAATTTCAACTGACCCTTCCTAAAGTATAAATTTCCTTTTTGCTTCTATCTTCTCTAAAACTTCACATGTTTGGTCCATAGTGTCCACAGGTATCCTCCTGTAGAATCGCATTTCTCTTGCCTCAAGTTTCCTCTTCATCTGTGAGATGTCCAGCATTCACTGCTATATAGGAGGAATGGTATTATGTAATGCTTCAGTACTCTTTTTGTACAGTTTCTAATTAAATAGAGATCTGAAAGTTAAAGTTTGTTCTTTTCCTGAAAGAAAAATTATTTTTACAGAATTATTAAAAAAAAAAAGGAAAAAAAAGAATCTTTACCTTTTTATAAGTATTATTATTTGATATTTAAAAAATAAATGCTAAATGTTATATAACATTTTATCAGTGAAAAATTTTGTTTCTTTTATCAAAAATGTCTGCTTAATGGACAAATATTAGTTTTCACCATATTGCTGAATTTCTCTTATAAAAGTGCTTGTCTTGTAAATGAGTTTATAATAGAATAAATTGCTTGCTAGAAACTTGGAAATTGTATGCAATATTGTTTTGAATAATTGTAATTTCAATTTGCTTATTTAAATCAATGTAATCACATGAGCAAAAACAATGTTTCCCAATTTTTTGTTTTCCCAATTTTTTGTTTATTTTATAAACCTTCATTTTTTGTTCCAGTTATCTTTACTCATTTAGATATTTTCAATTTTTGTATTTCCAGAACCTTTGTAGATTTCTTTCTATTATAATGATCCAGTTTTTGTTTGTGGGTGTAACAAACTGTAACACAGCAAAACTGGCACATCATAGCTAAATTTTTGTTAGAGCAATACCATTAAAATGCTTTAAACAGAAGAATAGAGTTCAATTTAATTTCCAAATGTAGTCCAACTTATTCAGAGATGTCTAAACTATCATCTATATCTAACTGATCAATGATTAAAAATAGCTTTAAGTGAACAAATCCTTCAGATCTTAAAGAAGACAGTCCTTCATCAGAGCCATAAGATGCAGAAAACTAGCATGACAAAATCACAATCAGCTTTATTAAATAACAAGAAACATATCACCTGAAGACTTCCTAAGGTAGAAACAACAAAAATGGATAGTATATGTAATAGAAAGGAAAATAATGCTAAAATGAAGATGCTACACTGAAACCAAAAGTGAGGAAAGAAGCAGCTGTCTAGAAAGAGCTATAACAGTGAACTTGAGACGTATATTTCCTAAAAAAAACTGTTTTAAAATAATTTTATAAATTTTGACTGACGGTTTTGCTGCTCAGTCAACAGATACCAAATGTTTCCTATATGGAAATTGTTAATTTGACCATTACTGATAACATGATGTCAAGTGTTCATGCTCACCCCAGTAACAGTGATCTGACTTTTCTCTCTTGGTTAGTCCGGAGCATGATGATAAACTGCACCCAGTGGCAAGGCCTCTGATCAGGAGATTGGATGTTTTGAGGAGTGTGGAAACACCTCTTTAATTGCTGTTGTTTAGAGGTCTACCCTGACCTGGGGTGGTAGCACCTGTTAGGGTCTCAGCTATGGGCAAATAGTGCCCACCCTGAAACAGAAATGCTATGAAAGTAAAGAAATACTAGCAGTACATTTTTATATAAAATATTACTAAAAATATACTAATAAATTGTAGTGACTTAACCCTAGGCACAGTGAAGTAGTGGATAGTAGCTTGGATAGAAGAATCGGAGAGCTGAGTTTGAATTCCAGTTGAACCCTTACATTCACTTATGTGCTAATATCCTTGGGAAAGGTATTAATCCTCCTCTTCTCCCTCCAGCTATGGGTAAATAGCAGGGCAGACTTAGTTCTATAGTCTTGGATGGCAGTTGGTCTAGGAGAAGGACAACTCTGAATTCAAAAACTGGAGGGTTGTTTGGGGACCTTGTGGTATGTGGTGCACCATGTCTCTGTATTCGGCCCTTCAAAAATTGTAGTTGATTCTGCACAAAGCCTTCACCACTATAATCAAATCATATGTGCTGGTGTCTGGCTGTCAGTTCCTAGGTACTTAACTGCTTGACCCTCATATGTTGAATACAACGGGAGAGTCCATTATAACCCAAATCTATTTAAAATACAACCAACATGAAAGAACTTTCATGACATTAAGCTGTATTATATCCAACAATTTCTTAAACTGTATTTGAAAATATAACTTGAACAAAACCACAAAATAAAACACACTTCATTGCTTCTAGTAATTATGTATACACAACTACTATTATGCACAAAAGCTGAGTATCATCTACCATGTATTCAATTGTGAAAGCAGAATAACATATCAGCTGTGTATTACTTCAAAGCTTTCAAGAAAATTAAATTTTGGGATTAAATGACTCATAAGGTGTTGATATGTTGTTAAACAGACAAACCAATCCACCAATTCTCTCTTGGTATATGTGCTTGTCACAAATGCTGAAGAGAAATTAATATAGACATTGAAAGAAGAAACAGAAATAAAAAGATTGTAAATTGCTGCAAAAAATAATGTCTATATTTTTATATAAATATATAATAAATTTTTATATAAATACATAAATAAATATATCATTATATTACAGCTGTCATTACTTTATGAAAAAATTATTGATCTTTTCTTTTTCTTCTTCCATCATGAATGTTTCTATACCTTTTTCAAAAACAATATTTCAGAATTGTAAGCCTGTATATTCATAAATTATTTACTAGACTCCTGCCGATTAGAGATAAGTTGAAGTTAAACTAGATAAATTTGACTAATTGCAGAGTAATCCCCATCTCCACTTTTTGAATTTGTTTGCAAATAAATTCTATAAATATGATGTTACTTGACAATAAACTTAAGGAGTCTCTAAGCAAGTTCTTTCAAAAATAATTTTTTCTCTATCATTATGAGTAATTTTTTTCTTTATAATTTTCTCTTTTTTCATCCAAAACTTCCAGCCATTTTTGTGGTAACCAAACTCCTTCGCAAGTGACAATTGTTCGAAAAGAGAAAGCATCCAGTAAGCTTCTTGCTCGTGTGATTGAACATGTGGACAATCTGCTGCAAGACTGGTACCCAGAACTTGGGGAGCAGCGTTTCATCCAGAACATCCATGGTCAGTATTTGGTCAGTCGGCTTGTCCCGTGTCTGTGCTGCTTGACCGCCATTCATCACAACCAGCAGAAGAACTCTGAAACAGATAAAGAAAGCTGGGTTTTAGTCAACAACTTGGTGTGTGAATCGGAACTTTCTCTTAGCATTGAGAATTCTGTTGAAGAAAAATCAAAAGACAGGTATGTGCTTTTCTTAAATTGTTTCTATAATAATGTTGACATGACTTCATTCAAGTAATCAATTATAATTTCTGTTTGAATTTCTGAATGAGAAATTACCTTTATTTACAGTTGAACTAGTGTCTTCATCTTTGTTGTTATCACAATATTTCGGCCATTGTACTCTCTCTTTCAAATGTCTTCTGATCCAAGTAAATTTCATGGAATTTTGAACTGAACCCTTTACATAATCTGATGAATAAATTGCTTGTCCTCTTTCTAATAGCTGAGAGAATGAAAACATTGATTTGTAAGTCTGGTTGCATAGTAATTGTGAGTTCAATCTCTGGGCTGGTCAGTGCAGATTTAGACTGTGTGGAAACAGGGTGAGGAATAACTGAGCAATAGTAAAAAAGAATATTTGTAGACATAGACAGTGGAATGAGAACAATCTATCTCTGTAAATCAAATAAAGGGCTCAATTTTTAAATTTTTGAAGGTTACTGAAAGTGACACACTTGAAGGAGTATGGAGGGCAAAATGGTTGAAATGTTGTATTGATACCAACAAAGAGGAGGATACTAGGTTGTTGCAGGTGGTATATTGGTCATAAAAAGATATTGAATGATGGAAGACAGTAAAAAAAAAAGTAGATTGCCTTGTTTATTATTGTTAAATAAAATACACTGACAAAATATGGTGATTTCATGAGGCAAAAAATCTCTGCAGTTTTGTAGTCGGAGAAGTGCGGAGTCCGGGAAAGGGCAGTCTTGTAGTCGGTGAAGAGCGGTGTCCGGGAAAGGGCAGTCTTGTAGTTGGTGAAGAGCGGTGTCCGGGAAAGGGCAGTCTTGTAGTTGGTGAAGAGCGGTGTCCGGGAAAGGGCAGTCTTGTAGTCGGTGAAGAGCGGTGTCGGGAAAGGGCAGTCTTGTAGTCGGTGAAGAGCGGTGTCCGGAAAGGGCAGTCTTGTAGTCGGTGAAGAGCGGTGTCCGGAAAGGGCAGTCTTGTAGTCGGTGAAGAGCGGTGTCCGGGAAAGGGGCAGTCTTGTAGTCGGTGAAGAGCGGTGTCGGGAAAGGGCAGTCTTGTAGTCGGTGAAGAGCGGTGTCCGGAAAGGGCAGTCTTGTAGTCGGTGAAGAGCGGTGTCCGGGAAAGGGCAGTCTTGTAGTTGGTGAAGAGCGTGTCCGGGGAAAAGTAGTCGGTGTGTCCGGGAAAGGGCAGTCTTGTAGTTGGTGAAGAGCGGTGTCCGGGAAAGGGCAGTCTTGTAGTTGGTGAAGAGCGGTGTCCGGGAAAGGGCAGTCTTGTAGTCGGTGAAGAGCGGTGTCCGGGAAAGGGCAGTCTTGTAGTCGGTGAAGAGCGGTGTCCGGGAAAGGGCAGTCTTGTAGTCGGTGAAGAGCGGTGTCCGGGAAAGGGCAGTCTTGTAGTCGGTGAAGAGCGGTGTCCGGGAAAGGGCAGTCTTGTAGTCGGAGAAGAGCGGTGTCCGGGAACGGGTAGTTTGTTGCATATTTTGGTGCTGCTGGTGAAATGTGGTTGGAGCTGCTGTTGTGGGTTGGCTGGATTTTTCTCTCTTTTCAAGGTCTTTTTATTTGCTGAATCAGCTACACAACAGTAAACGACCATTTTAGGTGAAGTTTCTTCTGGTTGTTTTTTAAAAATGTGGTTGTGCCAACAGGATACAACAAGCTTGTAAGGAGTTGATATGATATTAAACAAACAAAAAGCAAATCAAGGCCAAATGTAAAATGCTAGGAGAATGTGTTGTTCTCATCATCCAATTAAAGTTAGTTTTCTTTGAAAATAAGTGTTTTAAATTGTAGTTTTTATAAAAGTTAATGACCCAGAAAGGGAAATCGGAAAACCAAATTGAAATTCAGGTTTAGCTCTACATTCATTTTTGTGCAAATACTCTTGGGGAGAGTTATGAAACCATTTCTTCTACTCCACCATCTATGAGTTCTATAGTAGTGAAAACTGGGATATTTTTTAATTTTGGTTGGCAACCAGTCTAGGAGAAGAAACACTCTTAATTCAAAACCAGTCTAAAGAAGGATGTCCTCTGTCAGACTACTCTTGTCCTAGACACACAATTACTGCTATAATATGACTAAAGGACTTGCAACATGATGACACTAGCACTTGTAGGAAATACACACCTACAAAGCAGGCCCAATATTGATTGATATAAATGATATTCTTTTTACACTATTGTTATAGCATACCTACAGATGATAATGAGTATGCCACCATTCTCATAAATACAGTAGTGAATACTGTATATGTTGGTCTGCAGTTGGAGATTCATTGCGGAATTAACTTGACTCATTTCTAGCAGTTGACGACGACTTCTACACACTGCTGGCCTATGTTATGTGTTGTTCTTGTCCTAAGTACATTACGAACCTTTGTGTGATTATTCTATTCAGTAACCTTCCCTAGGTTACAACAACTATATTTTATTTTCTGAGTGTTCACACCAGTTGTAAGTAGTGGCTTATTTTGGAGATTAAATATCAGCAAGATTTCCAAACATTCCAGCACTCTCCTCAGTATTCAGTTATTTTTACTAATAATGTTGTGGGGGTGGCTCTGAATCCTCCTTCAATTTTCAGTTATAGGCTTTTCTTTCAGTTCTTTGAGATGGTTCCAAGTGAGAGGCTTGCCAGATCCTGCTTGAAATAATGTATATATAATGTATTGTCAATGATTTTCTGTAGATGCAAGAGTATTGAAGAAAGGAATTGCCAATAGTTTGTGTTACTACCAGAACAATTTAAAAATTGTATTTTCATTTTTAAGATGTTATTTAATGCTCTTATTTCTTTTTTATCTTGTTCTTTAGTTCACAATCATCGCTGGTAAATTCAACTTTACACTGCTTTTTGGTGGAAGAGTGTATGCTGAATGTTTTAGACCAGAAACCAGAAGTGTGCCCAGTCCATGGGAACCTGTCTCAATATTGGGTTGCCTCTGAACATGAACTTCATAAACTTTACTTAGCACCAGAAATTGTAAGTATACAGCTTCCTAAAAAATGTTTTCATTAATAGGAACATGTATTAAAGGATGCCTTCAGATTTTTCTTTAGGTTTATATATATATATATATATATATATATATATATATATATATATATATATATATATATTAAGACATTTTTTATGTTTAACATTTTTTTTATAGTAATGTTTATTTATAATAAACAGTATTAAATAAGTTTTTAATACTGTTTATTATAAACAGAGCATTTACTTAAATATTTGTATGTATAAAAAAGAATGTTAAACGAAAAAAAAAAAGTCTTAAAATAATTGTCGGACTTTGTCCATTTTTATATATATATATATATATATATATATATATATATATATATATATATATATAAGGACTAAGATTAAAATTTATCGTATTGACATTAGGCTTTTTGGGAATGGAGATGACAGGCTTTTTTATTTCTTTTTTATTATTCTTTTGTCTATTTTGCCAACAAGCATGGTATTTGATTTTGTTGTTTTTAGCCTATATTAAATATATATAAATTTCTTTGACAAAAATTTTTTATTTATATAAATTCATAGTATATTTTTAATCAGTGTATTCACCTTGGATGACGTGATGCATTCAGAAATATCTAAATTGTCAGCTGTATACAACCACTTTCTAAGATCAGTGGTTGAAAATGGCTTTGAGTGAGTGAAGCCTATGGCTCTTTGAGAAGACCACACTTATTCAAACCTGGTGGACTGGCACTACAGAATCACTAACAAAGAACTGTACCAAATAACAGAAACCATATCTCTTGAGGACTACCAACAGCAGTAATAGCTAACATGGATATCACATGTAACTCAAAGAGAAAATCATGATATAATCAAAATGTTGATGTTCCACCCTACTTCAGATAAAAGGTTAGGGAGGAAACCTCCATTAATACTGGAAAAAAATGATAGCAGCTACTGGACTTGAGAAACCTATTTTCCTGACAAATTGTTTTAAGAGAAAGATTTTATAAATTTTAACCAACAGTAGCACTAGCTACTTAGTGAATGTCAAATGTTTCCTTATAGGAAAACAGCTAATATTTCCATTACCATTTAGCTGGTGTACCATGACATCTTAGTGGAATCAACTATTCATTCTTGAATTATTACTTAAGCCTGTTCAGTTCAATATGGTCAAATTGGCAGCTGATCTCAAAAATGACCTACAATCTGTTAAATGGAGCAAAAGTAGCTTGTTAGTTTTAACACCTCAAAAACTAAACTGTTCTTTTTTTAATCATCTGAAAGAACCCTTTTTACCTTCCATCAGTATGGCTGATGCTAACCTCCAGGAGTGTGATTCATTGCACCTCCTTAGACTCACATTTTCAGCTGACATGAAAGAAAAGAGTATATTGATTCAATTGTTAAGTCTGTAGCTAAGAAAGTTGGTTCACTATGTCGTGCTAGATAATTTTTCTTGCCAGAATCTATCTTGTATATTTATAAGTCTACCATTCGTCCTTGCTTTGAATATAGCTGCCACAGGTGGTCTGATGCTTTTGCTATATATTTAGAGATTCTTGATAAAATTCAAAGAATTTGCAATGTTATTCGTCCTGACCTGGCATCTTGGCTTCAGTTACTGTCCAACCACCGTAATGTAGCTTCCCTGTGCCTTTTCTATAAATACTTTCATGGTAAGTGTTCTAATGTACTCTCCTCTGTGGTACCGAGACTCTATGAATTTAAGTACCATACTAGATTGGTTGTAAGGTATCATTTTACAGTTGAAATAACTAGATGTAACTATAAGTTCTATGCTAATAGTTTCTCCTATTGTACTTCTCACTTGTGAAACTCTCTTCTGGCTTCTTGCTTCCCTGTGAAGTTTGATCTTCAAAAACTTAAATGCAATGTCAGTCATGTTTTGTCTTAGTTCTCGTTCTTTTATTGTCCTCTTTCCTTAATAGTACTTTTTCTCATATTCTCTAACACTCAGTAAGCTCTTGCGTCCAAGTAGCTTTATTGCCTTGCTTGGGGGGAATGATTAAATAAAAAAGAAAATTCATTTAATTATGTTGAGTCATAAGTAATTTCTGTTTTTTATTCATCAGCTTCAAAAAATAAATTACAGTTATATTTTATTCAGTTATATATTTTCCATTATTTGCCATGGCTTCAGTACCTTTTTGATGTGAAAAAATTTTTGACCAACTCTTCAATCAGATTTTCATTAGAAAGTTTTCTGCATCAAAACATTTTAGTGATTGAAAAAGTTGAGTGATGAAAGATATTTAATATGGATTGTTCCTTTTGTATGATAATAGCTTTTGTATAATAATAGCTCTGAGTATTTTCTGTCCTCTCCCCACCTCTTTTTGTATTTACAGTGAGTACTATATAGTATTTTGGTATTATTTACTAATTATCTTGTTTAATAATCACATTTTGATTGTGATGTGATAATTGATATGTGCACAAATTGCACTAAGCTTTCATAAGTGACAAGTTAATCTATGAGAAAGTGTGGTGCTTGTGTAATCAATGTAAAAGTTTAATTAAATTTTTTTTTAATTACTTTTGTCTTTGATATTGGAGATGCAATTTTCCAAAGGACACAATTCATTACTTCCGTTACTGTTTTTCTTTTGAGAACCCAAGCTGATGTTCCTTATATGATACACATATATATGATATATATATATATATATATATATATATATATATATATATATATATATATATATACAGGTAAATATAGTTCAGTTAAGGCTATTTTATTTATTTTTTTTTTTTTTTTTTTTACCAGGTATTTCGGGACATTGATGATTCTCTACTATTGGCTGCTGACCAAATTACACAAGTTGAAAGCTTGGGAAAAGGTGCCTTTGGTGTTGTCTGCCGAGGATTCTTGCATAGAGAAGTGAGTAAATCATGCAGAACATATTTTCTGATTCCGTTGCCATATCAATTTGTTTATTCAGAATTTCTAGCCATTAGAAGTCAGCTTAAGGTTGTAAGAAACCTCTATCCATAACAACACTAATGATAATTATGATGTGTAAGCACTTCTAGTCCCACGTGAGAGTGCTGGGAGTAAAACCAGAATTAATGGAATTTTGAAATAAAACAGATTTTAGCATGTCTTATGTAATCTTTTTGTTGCTTCCACTTTTAGTAGCCTATTTCATATAGATCCTAAGCCCGGTGGAACATGGTGTCAGTGAGGATTTGTTCTAAAAGAGGAATCTATTTTCTAAGAGAAGAACAGCACCTGATTTTAAAAAAAAAAGAAAAAAAAAAAGGAAATTAAAAAAAAAGAAAAATTTTCAAATTAATTAGAAAAGTTATTCAACTTTACTAATCCAGGAAATTGGCAGAAATGGTCACAGACATTTCAATGCTTTTGAGAAGCATTGACAAAATATAGGAAGCAGATGACTCAAGTTAGTAAATTGATACATTGCATGGGAAGCAAGGCTGAAAATATTCTAGTTATTGTCTTTCTCATGAGGAGAACTTGCAAATGTATATGCCTCACTTTTCAGAAAATTCAATGCTTACTTCATGGCTGAAAGAAACAAATGAAATGGCAAAATTTTATCTTAGATTTGCCTCAGTTACCAGGAAAAGCAGTGGAAACATTTATTTGAGCATTGCATGAATTAGCAGAATCATGTGGGTTTTCAACTAAAAATGACCAAATCATCTTGTGATAGGACTACAGAACATGAATCTATCTGAAAGATTACAGCTAATTCCTGATTTGAAACTCGAGGAAACTATGGAGATAACCAGGAGCTGTGAGCAAGTAAAATCTCAAATGGAAGAAATACACAAGAAAAATGTAGATGAACTCAAGACTCAGAGGAAGCGATGAGACGTAGCAAGAAGGAAAAGTGGTGAAAAATGGTAACAGCAACTGTAGTAGATGTAACAGAACTTAATCTTAAAAACTGTCCAGTGTTGCATTGTAACTCAGACCAGACACCAGCTTTATTGACAAGCTGCTGTTTTGTCCAGTCAAATGCCTGTGGCTTAAAAATTACTCATGAGTGAGAAACAAAACAATTTCTAGGAGTAGACCAGGTTTTATTCTTGGATTGTAACCTCCTGCTATAAATGTGCAGTTGAGATGAGGAGTAGGTGAGGGGAGAGTTACATGGTTCATTCTCTGAGGCCCACTTCATTCCTCATTCAGTGTGTCATTTTATGGGATGGTCAGTTTTATCAATAAGTTTTCTTTGTCTTGTCATTTTCATCTAAAAAGTAATTTACCTTCATTCTTTCACTTTCTCTCTGTCTGAGCCTCTTGCTCTGTACTTTGAAGTTGACTTCACTTACTGATAGCCACCTGGTCGAAAGTAAATGTTCTGTATCCATTTTTGCAACAGGCCCAGCTGTTTTCAGTTTAGCAACACCTCAGTTGACTCATATTGCAAAAAGGGAAACAGTGCAAGAAATGTGGAAAAATGAGTCACTTCACAGAACCAAAACTAATATGATACTGATAGTAAAAGAAGAAAAAGAACATTTCTTAGAGCTAGCAGAAGCAAATCCTAATTGTTATGTTGTTCAAATTTTAAATATTTTGTAAAATTGTGGTGAAGTTGAAGATTGACACAGCTACTGAGATAAACATTATCTCAACCCAAACTTGTAAAAATCTAAAGGAAAAACCTTGTTAGAAAAAAAACCATTAAATGGAACCTTCACAAGTCCTAGTTGAATAGTCCAGGGCATTGGTGAATTTATTGCTGTTACAGAAATAGGTAATGTTTATTAAGCATTTGGTAGTGAGAGAAAGGAATAATGAAGATTACATTTGAACAACATTTATTATTGGCATGTCATACAGGAATGTTGAAGGATAGGTAGAATGTCTGTTCCAGTGGCCAGTTGTCAGGATGACTGTCAGGTATAAGGATAGCACTGAGCTAATTGTTCTAATTCTTGTGTGGGTTTGGTATGAGGTCACAGGATATATGATCAATGTGTGTTGGTTGATAGAGATCACAGTGGTAGGCTGTTTTCATTGGTTGGTAGGCCTGTTCTGTGTGTTGATTTGGTATGAGGTCACATGGTATGGTCAGCGCATGTTGGTTGATTGAGGTCATGATGTTAGGCTGTTTTTTGGTTGGTAGGCCTGTTCTGTGTGTTGATTTGGTGTGAAGTCACAGTGTATGGTCAGTGCATCTTGATTGATGGAGGTCATGGTGGTAGGACATTTTCATTGGTTTGCAGGCCTGTTCTGTTGAATGGGGTCTGTGGTGATGGTTGCAAGTGAATGCCTTGTACATCTTGATTATGCCAAAGTGACAGCAGTAAATTGCTGAGTTGTTTGTGAATGTTAAGAATCAGGAGAAGTCATGAATCTGACTTGCTGATGTATAGGATGTTAGCATTAGGTGTCAAAGTTGTGATGTTATCCTGTCAGTATTTGCCGAGGTGACATGGTATCTTCTGAGGTGACAGTGTCATCAATGATGGAGGCTTGTAGTTGGGTGGTGTTGAAGCTGGATATTCAGTTGCTTGTAGCTGGTGTTTACCAAGGTGACAAGGTCAAGATGTTATCAACATGAAGCCGAGTCGTTGAGATGTGCGGTTATGTTGAGCGATGGTCGCAGCAGGGCCCTGTGTGACAGCCGGCTGCACACCTAGCCACAACTGCTCTGGTTGTTCTCAGAGACCTGCTTTTAAGCAGGTCTTGTAGTCCCCAGGGGCATCCCTTTTCTTTTTTCCGCGGGAACATTTGTGATTGGCCACTGCTGGAGCTCGCTTCATAAACCAGACATGATGCATGAAGCCTAATGCACAGAAAACGACTTCTGTTATTATTTCTCTGCTTTTGTGGTGTTCGCATTCAGCCAGCATGCAGAATGAATCAGATCTAATTGCAATCTAGTGTAACAGTAAGGATGTATAATTTGGAAATATGGCATTAAATGTGTAAAGGGAGAGAATTCATTGTCCAGACAAACTGCAGCTAAAATGAATTTTGTGAAATGCTTAGACAAAATAGAACAGGACACTCCATTTGATTGTATGGTTGGAGACCCAGTTAAAATAGTTCTGAAAGAGGATGCTATTATCCTACTGTAACAACAGCTCAGAGAATCCCAGTCTTTATTTTACCTGAGGTAAAGGAAGAATTGAATAACCTGAAAAACAAGGGAATTATTGAAAAGGCTACAGAACCAACTGATTGGTGTATGCCTATAGTACTTGTAATAAAAACAAATATAAAAGTCTGAATGTGTGTAAATCTGAAGAAACTAAATCTACCAGTGAAAAATTACCAAAATTAGATATTTTAACTAAATGGAGTGGAAAATTTTTCTAAATTGGATGTTACTAGCAGATTCTACCAAATTCTGTTTAAGCAAAAAAAAAAAAAAAAAAATATATATATATATCTATCTACTCACAACTTTCATTACACATTTTAGAAGATATTGCTTCAAAAGATTACCTTTTGGTATAACATCAGCTCTGGAAATATTTCAAAAAAGGATATCAGAATTACTGAAAAATATTTGAGTCAAAACAATTATTGACAATGTTCTAATATGCAGCAGATCTATAGAAGAACATGATGAAAGACTAAAAACTGTTCTTAAAACATTAGAAAAAGCCAAACTCAAACTTAATAAAGAAAATTTAAATTCAAAAAACACAACTAAAATATTTTAGTCACATAATTTTTGGAGACAGTATTCAACCCAGCCAGGAAAGACTAAAAACCTTTCAGAAGTTGCCTGCAAATTTAAGCAAACTAAATCATATAATCAGCTTAGTTAGATATTTACATAAATTCATACTGAACTTGTTTGAAATAATACAACCAATGAAATTATTTTAAAAAAAAAAAAAAAAAAAAAAAAGGACATTGTATGGGTGTGGGATTATCTAGAAGAGAAATCTTTTAAAAGACTAAAGGAATTACTAAGTCAAGTACCAATTCTATCTTACTTCAGTCCAGCCAGACCTGCAGAAGTTAGCACTGATGCTAATAGTTATGGTCTCCAAGCAGATCTATTTCAAAAAATAGATGGCAATTTAAAAACAATAGCATTTGCCTTATGCACGCTAAATAATGTTGAGAGGAAATATGCACAAATTAAGAAAGGGTGTTTAATCTGTGTATGGGCATGCGAGAAATTTAACAGTTATGTCACAGAACTTCAATCTGTTACACTTTTAATGAACCACAAACCACTTATACCATTAATAAACAGACATAATCTATACAGTACCCTGTTATTGTGTCAAAGGCTTCTGATGAGACTGAAAAGATGACTCTGTAGCAGAACATGTTCCAGAGAAGGCACTAGTTGTACCAGATAAATTATCAAGAAGTCCTTTATCCGACACTGATAGTAATAACAGCAAAGAAGTTGGAGTATAAGAAGGCATAAGTTCATATTTTCCAAGTTGGAATGACTTGTCAGTCAATAATAATTTACTATAGTTCCAGGATAGAATTGTAATATCTAAAACCTCAGACCAGAGATACTAAGGATACTTCATAATGGTTACTTGGGACTAAACAAATGCTAAGAGAGAGCCAAAGAATCTGTGTGGTTTCCAAGAATATCTTAGGAGTTGGAGGAATATCTGAAAAAAAAAAATGTAGATTTTGTAATATATACCATCAAATAAATAAAAAGGAAAAATTAAAAGTAACATAATTTCCTCAAGGTTTGTAGCAAAGTATTGGTACTGATATTTTCACTCACCAAGGACACCATTATATTCTTGAAATAGACTTTCTTGAGATAGAAATACCAAAGATCGATCCAATGACAAATGATTGTGTTATAGGAGGTTTTCAGAGGGGCTTGCAGTAAATAAAAAAACTTATTTCTCCAGAAATTCAAAAAATTAATCTGCAACAATTCACAAATAATTTTGGCAGTTCTTTAACTGCTAATTTTAAAATAGAGTTTTACAGCTGTAACAATTTATCATTACAACCTGTCTGGCATAAAAATACACTTTTCTCAAAGACACGTGTTAGAAAAAAAATACAACCTAGACAATTAAACATTTATTTATTATACTAAAGACTAAATTATAAAAATAAAATTTTTATAATTTCTTCATATAGAATTTATATCTGGTAATTCCAGTGACCAAATATGTCTTAGTTATCCCAGATTTTTCTTTTTTAACAGTTAACTCGTTTGAAATTTTAAAAAGAAGTTTTCATACATACTTTTTCAACATTGATATGAAAATGAACATGGCAGCATTATTCAAGGGAAGTAACTCGGACATCTCTTATGAAATAAAGAGAGACGATTTGATCAATGTCGTGTGAATTTGCTTTATACAGAAATTCAAGCACTATTATATCGATTTTTTTTTTTAATTGAATTCACCTCAAGCAAATCAGTAAAGCCACTAAGACAAAGGGTTACTTGGTGTGGAAGAATTAGAAATCAGAAACATTACTAGGGAAGAAGAACAATAGAAGAGTAATTAGGTGGACAGTAGATAGTGATTGACATTGCATTTAAATTTTTGAAGGCTAAAGTTGACTGGAAAGCATGGAACCGGAAGAGAGTTCCACAAGCAAGAAGGGCAAGAAAATAAACTGTTAGCCTAGAAATTATGGTTATATCTGGCCAATTCAACTGTAAATTTATCAAACATTGTTGCTAATCTAGTACTGTGTTTATATTTTTAAAGTCTAGGTTATTATAATGAAGAGCTCAACCAAATCTTTTTTCTTTTTTTTTACTCATTTTAAAAAAATAGCTTTGACATAGGTTTTGATGAAACATTTAATTTCAGCTAGTTGTTGAAAAGATAAAAACAAATTGAAGGAAGGGGTATGTTTGTCCACAAATTTTGGAAGTCTGTTCTGATGCATATGTTGCCTTTGTTAGACCAAACATTAGTCAAATAAATTTGATTAATGTTTTATTTCTCTTTAAGATTTTAGCATAAAAAAACTTACAAATTAATAAGTATTGTGTTCTTGTATAGACTTTTATTAACAAGTATAAAGAAAAGAGTCCTTTAAAAAATTTTTTTCTTAAAATCATCTCACTCGAAGCAAGGCAAAAAAAATCCCCACTAAGACACAAGGGTGTTACTGAGTGTGAAAGAATAAGAAAAAGAAACCCTTTTAGGAGTGGCAGCAATAAAAAAAAAAAAGAATCAAGAAGATGGTAGGCAATGATTGACTTTGCATTTAAAATTTTGAAGATCAAAGTTGGCAAAAAATCAAGAAGAGTTCCACTGATGAGAAGAGGAGAAAAGAAATCTCTTCATTTTTGAGAAAATTGCCCTGTATTTAATGTCATATAGAATTACCAATATTACATAACAGTTAAGTACTCTGTTCTTTATTTCTAATTGAATTTTCCTGTTTTTTAATACTTTGCTTAGCTTTCAGAAGACAACTTTTACTATCCCAATGTGTCTTCAGATTTCAGTATTGAAGAAGATTCACTTGTTTTGTCTCATTTGATTGGTGAGCATTTTTTTTTTTTTTTTTTAAACATGTATATTTATCTTAATGAAACTCTAGAAATATCACTGAGATGCCTGAAAAATGGTCAGCTGCTTATAGTGCTTCAGAAAAGTACCTGATGACTATTGTCATGCTCTGTCTTTACAAGAGCTAGGGCAGACCCCAAATAGAGTATTGCTGCCACATCTGGGCTGGAGCTTTTACAAATTTCAAAAAGTGTATCACCAGCCTTGTGGGTGATGAATTATTTTCCATCTTGCAACCCCTTTCTCAAAGGCAGAACATTGCAAACCTCCATGGAAAATGTTCTGATGAGCTGCATTTTATAGTTACATGAGTTCAGTCTTTTACAGAAAAAAACAGTGGCAAACCATCCACATTTCCTTTGTATTTTTATTACTAAGAAGTTCCATTTGAACAGCTTTTTACCAACAGCCATTGCTTTGTGGATCAGACTCCCAAAAGAATGCTTCCCAACAACTACAATTTTTACTTTTTCAATATTAGGATCGACTGAAAAAAACAACCTGATTCAATAACGCTCTATCTTGAGTGGCTCTTGGTCCTTGTATTGGGTGAACAAGAAAAAAAATTCTCATCCTGTCATGAGGTCAAGACAGATATAACATGAAAAATCACAGAGAACATGTTGAGCAGAGAGTTGCACATGTAATACCAAATAGGATTTATCAACATCAAAAACTCAATGAAGGCTGGACAGTATGAAATGAGGGTGGGGGGAGAAAACAGAAAAAATAGGGAAATTTTCTGGGGATAGGACACATATACAATGATTGTTATACTTTTGTTGTAATTTTTTTTTATAAAATTCAGTTTATATTTCAGAATATGCCTGTTGTACCATGTGCAATTAAAAATCTCTCGGATAACAGCCAGCAGACTGCGGTAAGTTTTTTATTTTTTTTTTTTTTATTTTATTTTGTGCTTTAAATTCATGTTTTAATTATTTTTTTTTTTATTTTCTTTTCTTATAACTTTCAAAATAAAATATAGGGAAGCGGGTGTATAATCCAAGGGGAGTAATTCTATTTTTTTTTTTTCAAAAGTTATCTTCCTTGAATTTCACTCCACATTTTTTTGTTTTTATTATTGAGTATGGAGTATTCTCGCTAATTTTAAGACTTTGCTCTATTTCTATTCTTATATGGATCGAATCCGACAGAATAATTAGATAACAAATAGGAAATTGTCACTATTTCTTTTTTTTTTTTTTTTTTTTTTTTTTTTTTTTTTTTTTTGCACATGAGAAAGTTCTAAAAAACAAAAAAAATTGATTTTGATTTATGTCTACTAATGTAGACATAAATCAAAAAAGTAATAAATTTCTGAATTGAACAACAATAACTGTTAAAAAAAAAACGTGATACCTAATGTTTAAAATGCATTTTAAAAAAATGAAAATGAGACAACTAATAGAAATAAATTACATGACCAATAGAATTTTAAGCATTTTAATATTTTAGGTATTTTGGCTTTAGTCTTACTTACAAAGATACTAGTTCAGAAAATGTTCGAAAATTACCAGTAAATTTTAACATTACTATAGGTAGCACTCTTATTTTCTGATAATATTCTGTCTCGATGATTCTATTTACAAAATCAACACATTTATACACATATAAAAAATTAAAAATCTTTTAAAATACTGGGGTTGTTGAATTGTTGTACGCTTTTCCATTTATGATCTGTAAAAATAGTCTTTATTTAATAATAATAAAACTTGACCACTATAAATTAATACAGAATTTTAAAAGATGTAAAATTCTATAAATTAGTGTAATTAAAAATCTTGTAAGAATTCATTATTTATCAAAGATCTTTTTTTTCTTCAGAAAATAGTGTCTATAATGCTTTTATTCATAAAGTCAATTAAAAGCTTTTCTAATTAAATAATGTCAGTTTTGTGTATGTTTTTTATTTTACAATTCAGTGTCAAAACTTTTGGTGAATTTTCTTTAACTGGGGTTTTCCTGTTTGACTCCAAAAGTTTGTGGATTTAAATTCTCTGAGTACTTTTCCATATAACAAATATAAATATTGAGGGATATGAAAAAAAGAATTTATTAAAATTTCATAAAATTAAATGGGGAAGGGTAAAATGAGTGGTGGGGGATGACCTTCAACCTATGAAAAGATACATATAAACTATGCAGAAAACCCAACTCCTGCCAAAATAACCATTAGAATAAACTACCCACAATGCACCACTAACCTACATATATATATATATATTAGTCGAGAAAAAAAAAACAATGCATGTGGCCTGATGATTGCATTTAGGATGGAACAGTCTGTCACCTCTGAGTGTTGATATCAATATTCACTTATATGGAATAATATATGTAATAATAATAATATATATATATATATATATATATATATATATATATATATATATATATATATGGAATAATATACTGTGTAATATGTTGACAAATTCATTATGTGTTAGCAGTATGGTCTGTAGTGTTTTAACAATGTAAGATGGACACACAGACAACATTTAGTCATAGGAGAATTTATGAAAGAAAATGAATGTTGTAAGATCTATTTGCAATATTAAATGTTTTGAAGAAATAAACTTCTTTCAGTGATGGCATTCAAATTTTTTTTATCATCTTTTACTGCCCCAATTTTTTGCCTATGAAATTAAATACTGGTTTTCTCTCTCACTCAGGCTTTTCTTTTTTACTATAAATTTTTGTTGGTGGTTATAAAAGCCAAGAAAACAAAAGAAATAGCTTTGTAAATTATGTAATTTTGGTAAACAGATCATGTGAACCCTTTGAATCTCATCACTGACTTCAATACAATAATTACTTGGATCATTTTTTAATGTTTTTCTTGCAGACCATTGACCACCGCATGTTTGCTGCTGTACATGCCTATACTGCAGCACGACAAGAGATTGAGATCTTACAATCATTGCGCCATCCTAATATAGTAGAGCTTCTTGGTATTGTGGTGCATCCCATGGCATTGGTTCTGGCTCTTGCTCCACATGGTTCCCTTAACACCATTTTGAAAGTTTACAGAGACAAACAGGATATGTTGCCAGTGTTTGCTGTCAAATGTGTCATCAGTCAGGTAAGTTTCTCAACTATCATATTCTCTTTAAAAAAAGGATTTGACATAAAGACAAATTATTTACGCTGTGTAAAGGTTTTTAAAGGTTTTTCTTTAATGTATAGTCTGACTAGACGCTTCAGAGAACTTTTTCTTTTATATTTTTTTTTTTTTTTTTTTTACTGTAGCCTTTTAAGATTGAGAAGGTGTTGTGTGCTGACAAATGAAAATTACTTGTATTGAGTTTTTTTTTTTTTTTTTTTTAATTTTTAAATTTCATTCCAAGCATGGTGATAATGCCACTAGAATGCAGGGGTTTATAGAATAAGAATGAGAAGACTTTAAGGATGATAAGTGGACCATAAGAACCATAAAGGAACATAGTTCCGGAAGAGAAAAGATTGCGATTGATGTTCCATTTAAACTTTTGAAGATTGTAGGTGACAGGGAAGCAAGAAATTGGAAGAGTTTCACAGGTGAGAAGTGTGAGAAAACTGCTAGAATAGAAGTGGCAGTTGCATCTCGCTAGTTCAACAGTAAAATGGTGATACCTAGTTACCAATCTATTAGCACATTTAAATTCATATAGTCGAGGCACTTGGGTGAGGAGGTTAAGCTCATCAGAATGGTTGCCATGAAAATATTTGTAGGAAAGACAGAAGGAAATACGCCATGTTGGTGAGAAAATGAATGAATGAATGAATGTCCTGATGCCTGGTATGGATTGACTACATTACATACCCACTTTTTCATTTTGTCAAGAATATTGAGATATACAGCAGGAGCCACAGACCAGATATGGCAGCAATATTCAATGCATGAATTAAGATGGATTCTGACTAGAGAAATTTTCTGGTTTCCCTTTCGTTGAGATAGTTATGAGGGTCACATGATGGCTGGTGAATGATGTTGGAGGACAGATAAGAAAAGGCAATTGTGATGTAGACCCTAGCAATATAGAAAGTATTTACATTGCTTGGACTATCATCATCATCATATATGTTGCCATATTTATCATGTTTCAGCCATTGTACGGTTTGGCTTTCATCAGGTGGTTGGAATGTCGAACTGAACCATTTATTTTGCTTGCTGGGGCAGATTGTTCTAGTTCCACATGCTATTACATGCTAGTTATCAGTTAATTCATCTCTTCAAGTTCTCACCACCTTAACCAGGTATTGAACTCTCACTCTTTGGGTTCTGTCACTGGATCTAACTAACACCTTTATCCTCTGTGCCATGTCCTTGAGGACATCTGTGTATAAATTTCTGGGTATTATAAACCTAATGTCTTCAATCATTTTTACCAGTGTTCATATTATATATATAAATTTTTTTTGTACAATGTTGCATTATAAAAGTCTATCCGAGAACAAAGCATGCTTGTCATTCTTTTCCTTTCAGCCATTCCATTCCACCCCATAGAATATCAATGTTATTATTATAGCATGGATATAATAATACCCATAATGGGGGAATACATACATATATATATATATATATATATATATATATATATATATTAAATTATTTGTTTAAAAATTATAACATAAATATGTTATAAAATCACTACAAAAACAGCCATTTGTTTCAACACCTCCAGTGTCTTATCAAGGGATGATGTTGAATGTAGAATAAATTTATTCTATATTCGACATCATCCCTTGATAAGACACTGGAGGTGTTGAAACAAAATGGCTGTTTTTGTAGTGATTTAAATTCACTGCCTGAATTAAATGGTGTTTTGGTCAGTGTTTACCCTTAGTGTATCAACTGTTTGATTCAACATGTTAATAGAATACTGAATTTGTATTACTATTTTATATTAATTTTTGTGTTAATATGCCAAATATGTTCACCAAACACAAGTTTTAGTGGGAGATATTTGTGTCAGCCTGCTCAAGGTAGAATAAGTGGTGTACAGTAATTAAGAATGCAGTCCTCTTTCTTTACAACTGAGTGGTAAGGATTTGCTTTTTATATCCACCATAGAAGTCAACTCCTAGTTTTGGAAATATTTATTTAGGCTTGAAAACTCAACTTGTACCCAGCAATTTGCAGTATTACTTACACAGTATAAATATTACTTTTTTCTGGATCTTATAAAAAACATACCAAGCATGCATATTACTAAAATTATTCATGGCAATAAAATGATCATTGCAAACTTATGTTCTGAGCTTCTGATGATTGGTTTATTACTGTGAAACTTGTAATATGGATGCTTGTTTTGTTTTTAATAAGATCCAGAAAAATGTTATATTTAGATTATATGTTGCTCTGTCTAAAGTATATTGAGCACTCTAAAAATCAATTGTTAGCCTGCATTTGAATTATGTTTCAGTTCATAAAATAAATAAATACACACACGTGCACACACACACACACACACACACACACACATGGCAGGAAAAGTTTGATGTTGAAAAACCCAAACCTTTTAGTAAAGACTGAAAAACATCATTGATGACTCCTCTCAGAGCATTCAAAGAATGTGTTATGAATCATATATAAGGACGCAGTATTGTTGACCACTTTTCTGCTTTTAGTGTTATGCTTCTTTGCCAAGGTCCATTTCTTTCCATGCCATTGGGCACTTTTTTGGCACACTTGTAAATTTATTCTAGTGTTTTTTTCTCTCTTTTTTTTTTTTTATTCCCCCTCCCCTTAAATTATGGTGATTTGAGGGGAGGACAGGGGATATTCAAGCTTTAGTCATATGGGTATTTTCAACCCTCACTGAGTTTAGTTGGCATGTGTATAATATATATTCACCAGCTATCCTCATTGTAACAATTTGAGCTGGCTGAGTGGGGAAGGGGAGTTTCACTGTACAAATGAGTATAGACCACCTAATGATTAAGTGCATTAGTGTGCAAAAAAGCTAATAGTTGTGGTCAGTCAGATATATATCAGATTATGATAATATAACATAAATACTATGCCATATTAGCATTGAGCTCTTTTTCTCTGGTATGCTCCTCTTTAGTAAACTCTCTTGGGAATTATTAATTTTGCATTTTATATATATATATATATATATATATATATATAAATATATATATATATATATATATATATATATATATATATATATATATATATATATATGAAAATGTATATAAATAAATATATATATATAATTATATATATATATTATACTAAATTTATTAGAAAGCGCTCAATATCAGAGATAGAGCAAACATATTTGATGGATATATATATATATATATATATATATATATATATAGCTTTAAATATAACAAATAAAACCCCCATTTTTTTTTTCAAAAATTTACAAATAAATAATAATAATAATAAAATTTTTACCTATCATAATTTTACATTAAACCCCACCACACGATATATACATACATGCGAGGAAATATTTTTCAGCGAAAAAAAAAAAAATATATATATACATAATATGACATGTATACAGTCACGAGACACTAACGTGACATTTCCGCCACACTTCCAATGTTTAAATTTCAACATTTCAACATACAAATGCGTATGTATAGACATAACACCACCCGTATACATACATGTGTCATAGCCAAAACTGCCCACATACGTTTATATATGTATGAGTCCCGACGGACGACCAAGTATGTATATGTGTCTGCATATATCGATGTTTGCGTTAGTACGATGAATGACAAAACGACGAAATTTCCCCCACCACTTCCACAATAACACCAATACCCGCAATCTACATAAACCCAAATTTTTTAAAACATTAATCAGTTTGTCTGACGATCGCTAAAGCGTGAAACCCAGGGTCACAAACTCACATCTATCCATCCAAATATATATATATATATATATATATATATATATATTGCACAGTGAGTGGTGGTAGTAGTAATAAAACAGTGCTTGATGTATAATAACAGCTAAAATTTATACTAATAATATACATTTTGTTTCTCACCATTTGGCGTGACTCTGAGTTTCATGCCTGTGGCAATTGTCAGGAGTGGATTGAAAACTCAATTTGTGCCTGATGTTTATGTACATGAAATTCAGTTGTACCAAATAGTGAGGAACAAAATGTATATTTCTAATTAGTGTGCACTTGTAGCTGAGATGGTTAAAGTACATCGGATCTAATGATGGTTTCTCCTGCCAAGGGGGATGCAGGTTCAAATCCTGCCAGAGAGTATGTATTTTTCTTTAGCAAGATTTCTGAAAGAAATAAATGTACTTTTTAATAAATAAACAGTGTCTATTCAAATATGGGTATCCTCTAAAAATAATGTTTAAGTAATAAGATCTGTTGGATTAATAAAAATCCATTACTGATCCATCATGCATTTTTATTTATTAATCCAACAGATTTTATTACTTAAACATTATTTTTAGAGGATACTCATAATTAAATAGACACTGTTTATTCATTAAACAGTACAGTTATTTGTTTGAGAAAACTTATTAAATAAAAATATGTAGATATTGTTTGCCTTCCTGTAACAAATACCAGTGTTATCTGGAATAGTTAAATCAGTGGGAATTTTTAGATGTTTAAGTGAGGAAGTTTTTATTTCTGGAACAAAATAATCACTGTACTGCTAGTAGGGGAATTGAAAGAAATAATTTAATTTTACTGGCACTTGGATTTGATATGGAAGAGTTGTCACTGGCTGAAAATTCTAAAATTTCATGTGCAAAAAAAAAAAAAAAAGGATTTTTATATTAAGTCACATTTGCTTGCCAAGACATGAATTTCTAACCTGCAACTTATTGAATATGTTTTGTAATATACAGGATAGACTAAATGTTGCGTTTACCCTTTGAACCCAGACCACCTGATGAGTATTTACGTTCCACACAGTGCCCCTGCTGTCTATGACTCTGGGTTATATACTGGCTAACCGGATTTATGCACTTTCACACAGTGCCTGCTCAAGTTCAAAGGGTTAATATTGTTTTAGTAATTTAATTGTTATATTCCAGCTCAAATATACACTTTATTTTATTTTTTTGTCAATTTCACATAATTTCATTAATCTATTTTTTCTCAAAAAATCAGCCAGTAGATGAAAATAAAATACAGTTTAAAAAATAAATGGATCATATACACAAATGTGGGTATCCACTAAAAATAATGTTTAAAGAGATAAAAATGTGTTGGATTAATAAATAAAAAAAATCCATTATTTCTTTAGAAATTGCTTCCTGGTTTGGATATGAAACTCTTTGGAAACTTTTTGGAATCTGAGAAGAATGTTCTTTAAAGGCATTATAAAATCTTGCTTTCTTGACAATGCTCTTCGTGGTTGAGACGGTTAAAAGCATATCAGATCTAACAACAGTTTGTGCTGCAAAGGGGTGTGTAGGTTTGAATCCTGCCAGAGGATGCATTTTTCTTTTCATAAGGTGTCTCAAATATTCAAGCTGGTAGACAAAACTAAAATACTGTTTAAAAGGTAAATGGAGCATCTACTCAAAATATGGATAGCCACTAAATATAATATTTAAAGTGATAAAGATAATAAAACAAATTGAATTGCTTTTTAAACTCATTTTTTTATGATTAGTCGTCATGATGATACACGTTATTATAATTGGTTCCCAAAAATGGAAATGACTTATAAACTTGACATAATAGTATAACAATTATAAGATATTTATAAATTTGTGTTCTATTTACAATTTCCATGATTTTCTTTTAGAATTCTCCACTTCTGAGCCTTGTTTTGTTTTTTTCTTCTAGATTGCTTCAGCTCTCTCCTACCTCCATTCCAAAGGAATCATTTATCGTGATCTCAAATCTGAAAATGTTCTTGTTTGGTCATTTCCTTATCCCTTGATGACAAAACCAGAATTCCATGTTGATGTCCGGCTTGCAGATTATGGCATCAGCCGGATGTCCTTACCAACAGGTACGAAAGGCTTTGGTGGGACCCCTCCATTTATAGCACCTGAGATATTGCAACATGCAGGGAAGGACATCTATACTGATAAGGTAATCTTCAAGTTGTCTTGTGTTTCTGTTTCGCGTTTCTGCTTTGTGTTTCTGTTTCGAGCTTGTGATTTGTTTATCAATTAGAATTTTTTCTCTGTTATGAAAAATCCTAAAAGAAATGATATGAAAAATTTGAACTCTTAACTCTCACCTGTACATATTGTTCTTTTTTTTTTTTAAATGGATGTTTTAATCCAACATTATTTCTTATTACTATAAATGGGTACAAAAATAAAGGTAGCAAATATAGACATATGAAGTGTGTGGTGAGTACAAAATAAAAATAACCCTTTTCTCCACTGTTTTCAAATTTGTGACCAATGCGAAAATTTATTTTGACCAATAGTAAAAGGGATTGGCTCCTAGCTGAAGAAAAGACCAAGACAAATTTTAACAAGCTTATGTGAAAATTTATTTTGACCAGTGGAAAAGGGAGCAGCTTACTAACCGAGAAGAAAGTAATTAGCTGATGTGAAATCACTTTTTGATGTACATAGAGAAAAAGCAGAAAGAAGCAGGAAGTAGAAAGCCCGATTTCCATTTGTCTGAATAACACTGATGTCAAATTACATGCTGATACATTATCAGCCTCTAATTAGCGCAGGGCAATTTCAAAGAACTCTATTCAACTTGCGCTAAGTACCTTAAAATATATCTTTTCATTCATGTTCAATACAACTGTATAAGTTTTATGTGAAAAACGGACTCTCATAATTTGTTTTAAACAAACTACTTTATGTCTAATGATTTAATATGAAAATTTTACTTTGTATCTAATGATTTAATACAAACATATTCTCTTCTTGATAATGCATCAAAACTACAAACTTTAAATATTTGATTCTTTTTCCTGAAGCGATCTAATGACAACTTCAAATGTGTAAATTTGTAAATAAATTTCTTATCTTGTTTTGCTAAATATAACACATGTATTTCCTCAACATTATCCCTCAATACTTCAAGTGCATTCCTTAAAAAGTTTGTTTTATCATGGTTCCTTGTGGTCTAATTGGTAGGGTACACTTGAGCTAAAAAGAGTAGTTTCCTTGATGAATAAAGGGAATATAGGTTTGATTTCTGTGTGGAAGCATATTTTTAGTTAGTAAGGACTTATCATTAATTTCATTATTTAAATTAGCAGTGATATTAAGTCAAACATGTGAACCTGCTAAAAGTAAAACTTGTAATACAGTTCATTATATGGTATATTTGCCCGTAAAACAATTACTTAACATCTAGTTTTTATTGTTTACTTAAAAGAATAAGAAGGCAACTGAAATTTCTAGGTCATACTTTGATGAAAGGTGGGTAGGGAAATTTAACACTCACATGGAGGAAGGAAAGAAAATAATAAAAATAAAAAGAGCAGGGCAAAATAATAGAAGAAATGAACAAGGTGAAGCAACTATAAGATAATAAAAAAGATAACTATTCATAAGCAAATGGGATACAGTCAAGTGCTTATTGCCTTCTAACTTCAAGGCAAGAATGGAAAAAAAAAAGTGTGTTGTTCAGATCAAGAATTGTCCATTTTTATTGACTAAGAAGAAATCCCAGCATGCATCTGTATGAATTGTCTATAAATTTGAGGACTTTTAGCAGATATTAGAAATTAGAACCAACAAAGGGATACAAAGTTATAGAAAGCCATGATCACCCACACTTTGAATGGTCATAGTAGAAAAGAAGTTGTCTTTTAGGTATATACAGAATTTTTTCAAAATGAGCTGGCAAAAGTTAATACTGCGTTGTGGTTTAAATTCACCAAATCTTGTATCATCATGAATATCAATTTTTTAAAACTTTGTTTTTTCATTCAAGTGCTCATAGCATACATGAACTCAAATTTTCTGCACTGCAATTTAGTTACTGAAAATTGTGTTGATCTTTTCATAAATGCTGTCTTTATCATTATCTATTTTTTGTTTTCATTTTCCTTAGACGTTGGTGGCCAAGTCTTGAAGCTCAAATTTGTTTCTGTCTCTGCTGGTAATTTTGTTTTCCAATAATGGTCTTATCCTAACTTTTTGACACCGTTTTCATTATGCTTTAAGGTAATTCTGTGCATTCACTCTAATCACCACACTTGAAATGGTCTTTTGGTTCTTCATGATGGCTTTGGCGATAGTCCAACTCTCTGAATCGGTCACTAAGCATCGCAGATGAAAAAGAGTAACACCTCATCAATTTTGTTCTGGTCATTGTCAGTTTTTCTGTCTTGTCTGTAATGAAAAAGATAGTCAATATCATTTCTTCTATTTATAGAACCAAATTTACTTTGTCATAAAGTTAATGAATTTAACCCATTGTACCTAAGAAGGGCTTTTAAATTACCTTTGTCTTTTGGGCAATAAGTTATATCTGTCCATAATTATGAAAAGCAATGTTTTCCTTGTGTTTCTTTCAATGTTCATCACTCCATGAACTGAAAGTTATATATATATATATATTCTGCATTATTGCTGTTTATTAAGCATGGCTTAGTGCAGTTTAAAGCCATAATAACAAAATACTGCTAAGATTCAATTCTCTATACAAAAAAAAAAAATTGGTGAGCAATTCCAATCTTTATCGTATGTCTTCATAATTCCTATCCTTTTATTATTCTCTCTCCTTAATAATGTTTTTCTTTTTCTCATATTCTTCCATGCTCAGCAACCCCTTGCATCTTAGTGGCTTTATTATCTTGCTTGGGGGTAAAATGATAAAAAAAAATGCACTTGCTAATATTAAACTATGGTAAAGATGTAATAGTATCATTGTAAAGATTATTCTTCTATGCCCCGTGTCCCTTCTGGACAAGGACGATCATGGCACTCTACACTATCCTTTGTAGCTCTTAGTAATGTTTGTATTTTTTCCACCCTCCCCACTCTCTGTTCTGCCCTCCATTCATACAGGCTTGTCTGGTAGGTGGCTCCATGGTATTCTCAGATGATGAGAAACATGATATCAAAATCTAAGACAAAAAAATTTAATTAGAAACAACAACAAAAAAAAAAACAAAAAGTGCCAAACAGCTATGTAATTTCAATTGTCCTATATGGCAACAAATGCTGAGCAATCTCCTCGCAGATGAAGAGGGGTTTTGAGGCAAGAGAGAAATAATTCTACAAAAGAATGCTGAGAATAACCCAAAGTATGTAAGCAACAAGGGAATTTGAAAGGAAATGGAAATGCAAAAGATACTTTCATTTAGAACCAGAAAGAATTGAAATTTCTGCGACATGTAATGAAGAAAGCAAACTTGGAAAATTTGACACACACAGGACACCTTGAAAGCAAGAGGAACAGAATGAATCTACCTAATGAGTTTGTAAATGGATAGCAGAACAGGGAATAGGAGAGTTGGCAAAATGACACAAACATTACTAAGAGCTACAAAGGATAGGAAGTTGTGGAGAGCTATGATTGCCTATGATTTGAATGTCTTTGTCTTGAACAACTTATGCAAGAAATATTAACCCTGTACTGATGGACTAGCCAGACATGGTCAGGTAAACATGTGAACTTGTTTACAACGGAATCTAATAATCAGTTGTAACGGTGTACACATTATTAAATTAACCCTAGCAACATGGCGGCTTCCATAAAGCAGCAGCATACTTTGAAAGTAGTAACTTATTTTGCAATTTTTACATTGATAAATGATTGAATTTTGATACTATTACAACTAAGCATAGATTTATGAATGCAAAGGAAACCTTGCAGGTTGTTCTTGACTTGGATTGTAAGCTTGAAGTCGGAACAAACAGATGAGAATGATAATCCAGATATTACTGGCAGTAATGGTAACTGTAAAATTAGATGTTTCTTTATAAGAAAATTTTTGGCATTCATTGAGCAGCCAGTGCTATTTTAGGCTGAAATTTATAAAATCTTTATATTAAAACAATTTTTCAGGAAAATAGGTTTCTCAAGTTCACTCTTATCACTCTTTCCAGCATTGATAAGGGCTTCCTTCCTAACTTTTTGTTTGAAATAGTGTGGTACTTCAACATCTTGAATTTACAGGTTGTGGCAGAAATACATCCCATATAATGGTAAGATCTTAGTGCAATTGTGTTTTCATTTAGCTAATGCCTTACCTTTATGTGAGAAGTATTTCTGGGAGGTATATGTGGGACATATTTCTGCCACACTCTGTACAAGTGGGGGAGTTTTAATAATTGACTGGGGGATCAGAATTTTTCTTAATTTGCAATTAAAGTTGGGGGTAGTCAAAAAGTGGGGAATTAATAAACCAGGTGGTTTTAATAAGCTTAAGTCAGGTTTAGAAAATTTCTTCAAAGAAAAAAATTTCTGCCTTACTCTGTAACATTGTTTTCTCTTCGAGTAACATGTGTTATCCATTTTAATTGTTGCTGTTGTTGAAAGTTCTCAAGTGATGTGGTTTCTGTTATTTGGTGCAGTTCTTTGTGATTTTCTAGTGCAAGTCCATGAGGTTTGAATAAGAATGGTCCTCACTAAGACCTACCGGTTTCATTTGATTGAAGCCATTTTCAACCATTAATTTGAGAAAGTGGTTGCATATATCTGACAGTTGAGACTATTTTGAATGAGTTTGGTGCCATGCATGGCGTTCATATGAAATTCTCAGTCTGGTGATCTGGCTATTTAAGAGTGCGTCTGTAGATTTAGATTAATGTTTTTGTTTGTAATATTAAGTGGAACTACATGCAGTGCAGCCTATTCTATGTTCAGTTACTTTTCTACTATACTAACTTTGTTATAACTGATCCATATACGAAGGTATTTGAAGTGATTAATATTTGCTGATTCCCTATCCTAAATTTTTATGATGGATTTGGTGTATGTGATGTCACTGTTTTCATTCCAATTCCAGATTTTAGTATCTGTTTTGGAAAGGTTTATCTTTTTTTTTTTTTTTTTTTTTTTTTTTTAAACTTGGTAGAGGATGCTGAACATTCTAATTCCAGCTATAAATACCTAGGTCATTAACATGGCTCCCCACTCCCACCATTAGTACCTTGGCCTCG